TGATACTGTGTTACCAATAGCTTTTTAAAAAATGTTTACTAATTTGGTTTTAAGGTTATGTTAATTTTCAAAACAAAGTATGAGTTAAAGGCTGATTATTGTCTTTTGTTACTACATACAAATTGTCAAAAAATTAAATAGTCGTTCTAAGGAGCTTATTGCTTCGTTATTACAGTATTTTTAATGAGAGCGTGATAATGATGGACCACATTATAACGGTTTAATTTTACGATATCCATAATTAATTTTATTAATTAATTTGAGTACGCCACTGGTAAGAAACTTTAAAATACCAAAAATCGATATTTATTTAATCTAAGGAACTACTTTCCTAAGAGTAGGCAACACTCATTACACATACATTTCTAATTATGAAGGATTGACAGTTATTAAACTTTAAACGTTTTGCAAAGGCAATATCTGATTTCAAACTTTAAATTAATATTTTTTAAAAGGTAAATAAAATACTCAAAATAATCTAATTTGCATATAATCAAATAGAGTCATGACATCTAACGACAGAAGTTGGAAGTAGTCACTGATTCGACGCATTAAAGATATTCTGCGAAGACACGAAGAAGAAAAAGTTCTTTCTGTTTTTGGCACGAGTACTGAATGGTTTAATATTATCAGTTACATTTACAAACTTTAAAATATAAAATAAATTCAGTGATATAAGTATGTGATTTTAAAACCTTCGACAGGAAGTAGTGATATTGATTTACATAGTGAATGGTATCTTTCAAGCAAAATCCAGTATGTGTTAAAAATTAACACCGGCGTTTTTTTCTTTTTACATGGCCGTCCGCCATTTTATAAAATAAGAAGCTCCCTATCAAAGGGGTAAGTTATGAACAAATCAACATTTAATAGAACCTTTTCTTGATCAATAAACCTTTCAAAAGAATATCACTAGTGGAAAATGAACTAGGTCCTCATAGGATATTTAATTCCAGAGTTTCTGTGGGATATCAAGCCCGTCGTGCACACGTGTTGGTGAATAAGCCGAGAACTTTAGGCAATTGGAAGCTCTTATAGCAGTTCAAAGGCTGAATTATTTACGAGATTTTCACATCGAGTTTGTCTCGGATCGTCTCCTAACAATGGATGTGGAGATTGGACCACCTCGTAGTTTCCAGCCATTGAAATGGAGGGAAAGCTCTTCTCCAGGTGGCAATGATGTTTTTAATAAAACACTTTAAAAGAACCTTTAATTTGGTGAGATTATTTATTGGTAACTTAATACTTCTCCACTTGTGGGAAACATATTCTTTGATTTTTAAAGTTAAATATGAATATGATTAGAACAAGATCCACGTCTAGAATCTTGTTAATAATATTTTTTTTTTTTTTGATAAATAATGTTTTAGATTTTTTTAATTTGAATGCGTATGCCTGCTAGGCAAGAGCTAAGCAATTGTTTTTTTTTTATGGATATCTTAAAATAAATCCTTGGGAAATTATGGTTTATCATACAACATATGTCTATATGTATTTAGAGTTTAAACGTTAGTATTTTATACTAATTTCTATATTTGGTATCTGAAAAGTATACTCTTAATATTCTATATTTTATAATAAACCTGACAGTGAGCATATAATAGAGTTTTATTTATGGTTGGAGATTGTTAACGAAAGATAATACATTTCTCATAAATGGGTTTAATTATTACTACTGAAGAAACTAACTGCGTATCCACTACCTGGAGTAAGTGTTCCTGACTTAGAGCTACTGAAGCATCAGTAATAGGTAGGTTTAATTACACAAATATATTTGACATATTTAAATAATTTTATAATATATAATGGTAATTTTACCGCCACAACATGTCATTGCAGATTTTATTTATTCAATGTTATTTTTATTTCATGGGATGTAGTTCTGTTGTATAGTTCTGTTAAATAACTTGGTAAAATGATTTAAGTTTGAGATATTTTCTGTGCTAATTCCGGATCAATTTTAGTGAAGACGGTGTTTAATTCACCTGTAGTATGTAGATATACTAACTGCAGTTTTATTTTCCATGACCTTTTGTAATATGTTTACATTTTTGTTCAGATGTTTTTAATGCATAAAGGAATTCACTATTTTCCATTAGTTATATACATTTGAAATTAATTATTATTGTCATTAACAACCAAAAATAAATAACTTTAAAATTTCAAAATTTTCTACATTTTTGGAGTATTCTGACGATTAGACAATACTGCATGGTCCTCATACATGATCTATGACGTGCATCGGTATTTGTATTAAAAATACTATATTTAGAACGACCTTGTGGGCATTTCCCAATAAAACCGTATATAAAATTATACAAACTGATCCTCAAAAAATGTTTCTATAGTAGGCCTTGGAAATTAAACAAATGTTATTTTAAAGCAGAGTCTTGCGTCACAGACATAAGTCCTATCTTTGTTTTTGTCGATATTATATACTTTAAATACATTTTTTGAGGATCACTGTATACTTTTATTTAGAAATTAACAAATAACTTACTTCATCTTTTGAAAAATGCAGACTTTTGAGAAAATTCTGGTCATCTGAAAATATGCAGTAGTAATTAGTTAAGTAAGTATACAAAAAAATGTATCGCATTGTCAACATTCCTTGTAAATGACATTTAACAATAACATGCACGTAATGAGATCGCATAACATACACGTGCGTTTTGATAAGAAAACTTAAATTTCTTAGTTTAATCAAATGGTAATCAAATTTTTATCTACGTAATACTTTATTTGGTTTATTTACATAAATTTAGTCAATTTAAAAACATAAAAACTTTTAGCATTGTCGTGATTCATTTTGGATAAAAAAAGTGATGCCCCTAAATGTCGGCAACACATTATACAATTTGAAAAAACTAAGTCGCGTTTTCTTAGTATGCTTTGGAAATAAACGTCGTTTTGTTTATATTGTCAATTTTTGTAACAAAATATTATTATATTCGAACATTTTCTCAACTTTACCAACGAATATGTCTGTTAGTAGTAAAAGTAATGAAATTATGAACACTCCACCGGAGAATTTGGAAAAAGCTCAAGATGTCACACATAATTGGTTACCACTTAAATCCAAAGGAAGGTATGAAATTACCTATCGAAAATTTATGGATTGGCGCCACAAGGTAGCGTTAAATCCTTTTTTGAGAATATCTTAAGTGGGCATAGAAAAAGTATAGTACGTTACACGAGTTGTAAGCCCATTACGCACGAAGTGAAAAAGTTTACGCACGAAGCCGCGTAGCGGCGAGTGCGTAAATTTCACTTCGTGCGTAATGGGTTACTTACAACTCTTGATAATATACTAATAATGTGTTGCCGACATTTAGGGGAATCACTTTTTTTAATCCAAAATGTATTTCGCTAATGCTAAAAGTTTTTATGTTTTTAAATTGACTAAATTTGTGTAAATAAACCAATTAAAGCCTTACGTAGATTAAAATTTCATTGCAATTTGATTAAACTAAGAAATTTAAGTTTTTTTATCAAAACGACGTGTATGTTATGAGATCTCATTACGTGCATGTTATTGTTACAAGGAATGTTCACAGTGCGATTTTTAACGTTTACTGACATGGGCGTAGAAAAAATATAAACAAAATATTTTATTGAAATACCGTTTCTTTTTAGGATTGACCACCGTGAACTCGTAGAACGGCCACCAATAACAACCCATTTTACTCCGTTTAATATTTTTTTATAAAATAGAAAGTACAAAGTTTTATATCTTTGTTAAATCAGTAGATATAGTGCTTTTTATTTAACTTAAATATTAATGTTTTTTTTTAATAAATTTGGCATATCTAATGCAGTCACACATTTTAAATTACGTATAACAAAATTACTAAAAATGTATTTGGATCGCAAGTAACATTTTCTGAAGGTATCAAGTTTTAATTTCTAAACTTTGCTAAGTCCTTACATTATTGCGGCAATTTTGGCAATTCTGGATACTCTGCAACAACTAATAAACTCTGAATTTTTTAAACACAAAACATAGCTTAGCAAGAAACGTATTAAGGCGAAAATTAAATTGCTTTAATTTTACTTTCAAATTAATTTGAAAAAAATTGACGCTTAAAACTAAGATTTGGTAGATATTTCTAAAATAAATTAGAACAGAAGTTAATAACAATACTAATAATGCAACTAAAAAAAAAATACTAAAAACAAAAATTTTAAATATTATGAAAGAGTTAAATATATATTTTTTTTTCAAGGAGTTTAGCAAATCAACATTTCAAACAATATACGCAGCAATACCTACTTTACCCACAATTTTAGTTTGGACAATCTTTGATAGATCGAAGACTGGTGGACAACACTGAATACATACATGGTATTCGGAATATAGTTTTGATGATTTAAGGTTTAATTAAAAGGCAAATGAATGTTTATTTCAAGCATACATAGAAATAATACATGGCAACTGTTATAATTTTACATTAATGGAGCGGAGATAGAATAGTCCAGAAATGTCTGGAAACATCATTATTCGTTAAGAATATTCTAGACGACAGTTCGAGAAGGTTCGAGAATGATCTAAGGTTCGAGAAGGGTCAAGCAAGCTATATAAGGATGATCCTGACACGCCAGTTTTCAGTTTTTATGATAGATTTTACATCTTAATGTTATCAGTTGTATAGTTCTTGTAAAAGTTGGGTTAAAATAAATTGTGATACCAAAAACCAGCGTAACATAGGTGACAGCGGTCGGATATATAAAAAAAAAGTTACCCAAGCATTATATTCACTACGCATGAAACAGATATGGATACTTCAGGCCTACCAGCATGGTTTTTGAAGATGGAAGAGGAGAGAAAAATACGAGAAGAGGAAAGGGAAAGCGGGAGGAGGATAAGGAAAGACGTAGGAAGGACGAAGAAGAGGAAAAAGAAAGGCGTAGGAAGGAAAAAGAGGAGAAAAAGGAAAGGCGTAGAAAGGAAGAAGATGAGGAAAAGGAAAGGCGTAAGAAGGAAGAAGAGGAAAAAAAGTAAAGGAGTAGGAAGGAAGAGGAAGGAAAGGCACCGGAAGAATGAGGAAAGAGAAAAGGAAGAAAGACATAAAAAAGCTCAAGAAGAAATTATGAATGCTTTGCTACAAATCCAGGAAAACTTCAAGCAAGAGATTGGTCAGCTCAAAATTAGAGTAGATCTTTTAGAGCAGGCCTGCACAACTCAGAATTTCAAAGAGCCAGATTTGAAAAATCGTAACTGTACGAGGGCCGCCAAGAGAGGCCTGAGTGGTCTGTTCAGATTTTTTTAAAATAAGTCATCTTTAATTTTTTGTAAACCAACAAACCAACTCCTGCTGGTCCACACATTAAAATTCTTAATTCTGCCAAACTTTTCTAAAAAAAAACTTAAACGCTAGTTTGTTACTGACAACTGTATAGTTTGACGTAGGCGGGCCAAACTGATCAACGGTCGGCGGGCCGCCAAATCGACAATGGCAGGCCTGTTTTAGAGCAACAACAAGAGCATTTATAAACTAATTTAAAACAGCAGTAAAAGCATTTACAAACTAATTTAAAACAACAACGAGATAATTTAAAACAACAGGAAGAGGCTAGAGTTAGGTTCAAAAGGCAAATTAAAACTGAACTAGTTGAGGTAAAAAGAAGAATTCGTAGCCTAGCTTTGATAAGCAACAGATAAGCTAAAAACACTACCTCGTCCTCACCTGTAATCAAACCAAGCCATATTCAATACCCAATTTTACAAATCCATACTAGCAAGATCATTAAGCCACCCACGTTTGACGGTTAGACAACATGGGAAACGTATCACCTCCAATTTGAAGTTGCAGCTAGAGCCAATGGCTGGGCTGAAAAGGAGATGGCGGCTGCATTGATAGTATCGCTACGAGGACAACCAGCAATCGTATTACAGTTACTTCCTCAAGAAGAACCCAGTTATTCATCTCTCGTCCAAGCTTTAGAGACAAGATACGGCCAGCAGCATTAGAAACGGGTGCTTCAAAGCCAGTTAAAGGTTCGCAGTCAGAAACATAGGAATTCAAGGCCGATATAAAATGATTCATAGGCACCCAAAGAATTCCAAATCGGCATACAAGCATTATTGATGGACTACAAGATGTGGAAACGAAGCAAGCCCATCGTCTACAACATCACAAGATACTGAGGAAGAAACTGATTGCAGCCCAGAAATATGAAGCAGTAAAACTTATATCCAGATCCTCTCGCGCAAAAGTAAGAGGAATTAAATTCCAGGAACGTGAGGAATATGCTATTCCTTAAATCCTAAATATTCTACGAAATATGCAACGAAAGAGACAAAATGGAAGCAGGAGATGCTTCAATTGCGGAAGAACTGGGCATCTTCAAAGAACCTGTAGAAGCATGACTCATTCTATAAATCGATAATCAACGAATGAGACCGGAAAATCATATAGATCAATCTTGTCAAGCCTATCACTTAGACCAACAAAAATTAATTACAGCAGCTATGCGTCCCGAAGAAGCCAATCACCCACACCAAGCCAGCTTTCTAACAATAATCAGAAAGTAGAGCATCGAAGAGGTTTTCATAGCAACGCAGACATTCTCTTCGAGCAACCCCGTTAAGAGGAACAATGTTGGTATGGTAAAAGGCTCGAAGAACGAGAAAAACCGGTTGATAAAGTTACTCTTAGGGCAACCACTATCAAGCCAGAGGGCGGCGAAGAAGAAATCACCCTTGAAAGTCTAAGACAGGGACAAAAGAAAGACAATGACTTGAAGGTTGTCCGAGAATGGCTTAAAAATAAAGACACACCTACTTGGCAAGAGATAGCCAAATACAGTAGAACTATAAAAGGCTACTGGACCCAGTGGGATTCCCTGTATCTTCACGATGGCCTATTGCACCGGAAGTGGGAGAGCCTCGATGGAGTTTATGTAGTCCGCCAAGTGATACTGCCGAGGTAAAAGATATTAAACTGTATTGGAGAAGCTTCATAGCAGCCGTTCAGGAGAACACTTTGATACTAAAAGGACACTGGCACGAGTTCGGGAAAGATTTTATTCGGTCAATTGCCGACGGGATGTAGCGGATTGGTGTGAAAAATGTAATGTATGCAATGACAGGAGAAAGGTCTATGAATTCGCTCGGGAACGACTGAAAGCCCACACCGATAAAGCAGAAGCTAGAATCAACGGGCGTGCCACAGATACACAATTTGAGAGGGTCGACAAGGTATGGCTGTGCAATCCCAAGCAGCGAGGATGACTTCGTCAGAAATCGCAACGGAACTGGAAAAACAGCCCTACTCCTTTCTTAAGGAAAATCAAAGTCCTGATCTACAGCATTCAACTGTCAGCGGGAAGTATATCCAACGTAGTTCACATTGGAAAGATAGCTCCATACCATAGTTCAGATCCTTTTGTTTATTCCAATAAGTCACAGGTCAACATGCTTAAGTAACAGTTAAAAACCATAAAACAAATTTTCTCTCGTCACTATCCAACTCTTAAAAAGTGAACCCATCTAATCACCATAAATTAATTTAGACCCTTTTACCATTTGACCACAGTATTTATCCCTGCAATATCACTAACTCTTGACTTACCATAACATTTGTCTCTTTTGCCACAGGTGTCTTCTTCACCTAAAACAAAAAAGATACAATGAGGGATAAAAAATGGAGAAAAATATATAACAATTAAGTTGATTTAAAAAAATTCTCAGGTACTAACAACAATAAAAATATTAACTAATGTAAGGTGGGGTAAGTGTGACACCGATATTCAACATATGAAATTTTACAAATTCATAGACAATTTTTTTTTACTAATCAAAGTTGCCCCCTTCTTAACAGATAAGTCCTCCTGGAACTCTTACGAAATTAAAACGAAATGATTGTATCTGCAACTGAACCCTCTTTTACAATTTTCAGTTGCATGGAATAAACAAGGGACTGTCTTTGTTTTAACCTGGACACTGGGCGAATCGCTGCAGATCAGTATTTGGACTCCGGTATCTTGAAAGACTAGTTCCACCATGTTCCTTATGATCCTCCAATCCAGCTGATTTCCTTCTATCTTTGGCATGGCTAGATTCTGTACATTGGATTGCAGTACGTGCTTCCTTAAACCAAGTAATGTTTCCTATACATCGTGATAAGTGGATCGATCTCGGAAGGTGTTCTTCATTATCAAATAGAAAAGGTAGCGCGATTTGTCTTGACGTTTCAAGGCTTTTCCAGGAGTCTGGTAACTGACGTTAAAATTCTAGCAGTCGACTAAACTTCTAACAGAACACATATGCCAGTCCTTGCGCGTCGTTGATGCTGGCGGAAGTACTATGGACCAGCGAGTAGTCTTTTGCGGACTCTTAATTTGGAATGGCGTATACTTTCACCCACTTTGTAAAATAATCCATTACCACCAATATGTATTTATTACCATCCTCGGTCACGGGAAATGATTCAGCAATATCTAAAGCGATCCTCTGAAATGAGCTACCAACGTTATATTGCTTCATGGGAGCCTTCCTTTTTCGTTGAGGTAGTACATTTCTTACAGCAGTCCTTTTCATCATCGGAACTGTTCATCCAGAAAACCCTTTCCAAAACTCTCTGAAGAGTTTTTCTAACACCGAGATTCCTCCTGATGAACTGACGAAGTACTTGGAATACTCTACTCCTTGGAATGATTAACTGTTTTCTGTTCTCGAAACCATCATTATTTTCAGGTATTCCCTTTAATAAGCCATCTTCCAGTATAAAAGACTCCAACTGAGCCGAATATGATTTAAGTACTGAAGAGAGATTAGATACTTTTTGCCAAGTAGGTCGACGATTTTCCTCTTTCCATTGTTGCATCTTCTTTTAAACGGCATCGTTCTCTTGTTCTTCTCTAATTTTAGCAGGGGCCCTTTTATTGTTGACTACAGTTGTTCTTAGTAGTCCACTTTCTTTGGATTCCGCTTTGTTGCAGTGGGAGCACTCTGCTGGAAACGGTCTTCTAGAAAGATAACTGGTATTTCCGTAGCTTATTCCGGCTCTATGTTTGATTTTAAAGTCGTACTCTTGAAGTCGTTCAATCCATCTGGCCATTTGACCCTCCGGGTTTTTGAACTGTATCAACCACCTAAGGGCGGCATGATCGGTACGGATTAGGAATTTCCTTTCCTATAGGTTCTGGTAGAAGTATTGCACGCACTTTACAACTGCCAGGAGTTCTCTTCTCGTGACGCAGTAATTTCGTTCAGGTTTCGAGAACACTTTACCAAAATAACCCAGTACTCTTTCTTTTTCTTCCTGAATCTGTGAAAGCACTCCTTCAATTCCCACATTACTAGCGTCAGTATCCAGGATAAATTCTCCCTCTGGTATTGGGTAGCCTAGTATTGGTGCTGTTGTTAAATGCTTCTTTAAAGTTTCGAAGGCAGTTTGGCAGTCTTTGTCCCAGCAGAATTCTCTTGCTACTTCTGTGAGTAGTGTTGCTGGTTCAGCGATATCTGCAAACTTCTTTATAATTCTTCGGTAGTTCGTACAAAGCCCAAAAAAACTTCTTATTTGGTTTTTATCCTCTGGTTGTGGCCACTCTTTGATAGAAGATACTTTTTCTTTATCTACAGCCAGGCCATCCTTGCTGACTACAGGACCCAGGTAATTAATTTATTACGACTGGCCCTTCTTTTATCAGCTTTTACTATATTTAAATAAGCCAGTCAAAGACAGAGTTCTGAAACTCAAATATTTTGTAGTTTGCTTTCGGCTAAAACTCAGTTTAGTAAAATTTTATTGTTGCTGAACTGGAGAGTGGTCTGGGGTCTTATTTAAAGAAACAAAATATCTTAAAGCTTTCTTTATGTGCAACAGATTAAATGCCTGATTAAAATTGACAGTATATGATTTTACCAAAATCGTAAATGAACCCACGTAGTACTATGCGGTTTACAGTGCAAGGTAAATAACTTTTTAATCTAAAATTATTAATATTGATGATGATAGAGTTTATCTGGTAAAATATAATATAAAAATATGTTTTATTATAGTTATCTTGTTTTGTAGGTATTCCTGTACCCAAAGGAAATTGAATTGGAATCGCCCTGTTATACCATCGAGAGTTATAATTGGAAATGTCTTACTTGTTTCCTTGCAGTTCAAACAACTTTAGTGGTTCAAAGGCTCCAACCTGAACCTGATTATATCGGTAGAAGTGCGTTGGGGTCCGTATCAAACAGCTACTAACTGGAAGGTGAGTGATGCTATGAAATATAATTCTTATTTCAATGTTTCGTCCAAGATTATGGGTTATATGAGAGTTAATTGTAGATATGACAACTAGTCTACAATCTTGTAGTTATGGTAATTGGTAGTCGATAGTCAATAGTCGATGGCCGTGAAGAAGTAGCGGCCTTCTAAAGATATGTATGCAAATCAACTAATGTGTATAATCAGCTTTGATTAACTTTTCGTTATACAATATCTTTGATGGAATTTCTTTTGTTTGAGGCTTATTAAATCCGAAATAAATTTAGATTTTATTAATAAGTCCACAAGGCCCAATATCAGCCAAAAAAGAGACAGAACCAGGAAGTGAGAGAGAAAGCATACTTCCTTGATCTAGGTAGGAGATTTTTGTTGACAATAATTAACCTTACCGTAGTAGGCTTTTATGTTATTATTTTTAGACAGAAGAGTACCTAATATTTTGGACAATGAGAAAAAGAAGAGTTCAAGTTCAAGGTCAATATTGTTTGAACTTTGGAATGTAAACAATAATTCAAGTAAAATAAGTAATTATTAAATATGTAATAGCATTATTTTATACTGTAAGTATTTATTTATTTTTTCTTTAGTTTATTTTAATTTTAAAAATATCTGTTGCATGAAAGTATTGAGCCCGTAACAACCCCCCCTTTCCTGGAAAAAGTTTTTCTAGAAAAAAACTTTGAGGTATAATAAACTCAATTAGCTACTTAAATAAACCTTACTAACTTAACCAAAAAAAAAATATTACTTTGAATCAGATACTGTATCGGATTCGACATCATTTGGAATGGCCTTTGCTATCTCTTAGCTCGTAAGACCATGGAGAAATAATCTTAGATATAATCGAAGGTCCTTCAAATTTCGGAATAAATTTGGCAGTGATTGCTTTGGAAGCATCAGATAAAGCGTAGCGACGTTTCCATACTTTTTGATTCAGCGTGAATCTTTCATCGCGACGTCGAAGATTATACCTATCCTTGGAATTTTCATAGGCCAATTTAATTCTACGTCGGACATCTTGGAAGACTTCTAACAATGCTTTAGAGCGGATACGAGGGTCTTGTGTGGAATCTTGAGGAGTTGTTAATGGATGAATATTTTTCCCAGAAAGTTGAATTTCTCTTCCGAAGACTACAAAATTTGGCGTAAGTTTTGTCGTTTCGTGACAAGAAGAACGAATCGCACAAGCTACTTTCTGTAGAAATTGGTCCCAGAGTCGGTGATTCTCTGAAACATAGGAGGTTAAAGCTGCCTTCACTACCCTATGAGCTCGTTCCACTGGATTACTCTGCGGGTGATAATTGGAAATATGCCATGGTTCGATGTCATACCTTTTAAGTACATCATGAAATAATTTGCCGGTGAAAGGACCGCCATTATCCATAATTACTTTTTGAGGTGCTCCATAAACCAAAATGACATTATTTTCAAAATTTAATGAAACCTGTTTAGCAGTAGCCTGGCGTAACGGAAAAAGTAACAAAAACTTGCTGAAAACATCATGAACACCTAGAATATTTGTATAACCAGAAGTAGAGCGTGGTAACGGACCTACGATATCTACACTTAATAATTGGAATGGACGAGTAGCAGTGGGACCTTGACTTAACATAAGACCAGCTGGTGGGCGTTGTTCTAATTTAGCCTGGAGACATGTGGAACATCTAGCGATATATCAGGCTACATCTTGTCTGAGTTTCGGCCAATAATATTTTCTGGCGATCTTCGTCCGTGTCTTAAATACTCCTAGATGTGCTGAAGTTGGGGAGGGTCGTGATGAGTAGATGTAATCTCTGACCGTTTCTCCTTTGGAACAACCAACAACCATCCATCAACGTCCTCTGTTAGTTCGGGATACGCTATATCCACTCTTTTAAACAATTCTCCGCTTTCTACCCGCCACAACGGAAATTTTTCTGAATAGTCGTGTACCTTCTGACACATACCACGATACCATTTATCTTTGAGGAACAGCTCTTGAAAGCGCATCAGGAACGACATGTTCACTGCCTTTTCTATGAACCACCTCCAAATCGTATTGTTGCAGGCGTATTGCCCATTTCGCAATACGTCCAATTGGATCCTTAATATTTTTGATCCATTTCAATGCGAAATGATCGGTGACCACACGAAATCTCAGCCCTTCCAAATAGGGCCTGAGACGCTCGATTGCGAATAAAACAGCCAAGCACTCTTTTTTCTGTGGTACTGCATTTCCTTTCAGCCTTGGACAGCGACCTGCTTAGGTAGCATAGTACCTTTTCATTGCCGTCATCATCCGTCTGAGACAATACAGCGCCTAAACCATAGTCTGAGGCATCGGTCTGCACGACAAAGATTCTGTTAAAATCTGGGCACGTAAGAAGAGGTGCCGACACTAAATATTCTTTTAGAGATTTAAAAGAATGTCCCCATATGGATGTAGGCATACCTCTTCGGAACCAACTTTGATCACTCTGTTCTTAAAGTCTAAGTGTAAGTTCATTACATCCATTCCAAGTATAACATCTTTTTTGATATTAGCGTCAGCGACAATAACAGTATGAGTAAACTTTTCTCTACCGATTCCCAATTGAACTTGCAGAAGTTTCTTACGGTTATTTATGGTTGTTGGTCGTATAATAGTCCAAGTTGCACAAGTATCCACCAACACTGTATACTTTTTACATTCACTTCGCCGTCTACGTATACATCGATCATCGATATGTCAAAGAGGCTATCAGTATAAGAGGATCTTTGGAATGGTTTCGGGTCAAAGCTGCCCCCTCTAGGCCGACTGCGGCGTGTTGTCTTGATTCGTTATTACCCTAGGGCGTTTGCATGAACTGCGTACATGTCCCAGTTCACCGCAATTCCAGCACCTGATGGTTTTGTCTTCATCTTTCTGTCAGTAAGTCTCTTCATCATGTTTACCAGTTGGTCGAATTACCTTCCTCTTCTTCTTCTTTTACTGTATTTACTTTACTGTATCCACCAGAAGCATGCGACCAATGTTTTGTGGCGAGCTAAGCGAAGTGTTTTCTGCATCTCTTGGTCACGAAGTCCATCAATAAATATTTGTATTGCCAAACATTCCATAATATTTTCCGAAGCTGATGGTTAAGCAAATCGCACCAACCTGGCAATATCTACTTTATATTCCTGAAGAGTCTCGTATCGTTCCTTTTTACGATTCTTTAACTGTGACTGGTACAAATGCTCCAAGTGTTTGTGGCCATATCGCATATTTAGTCTCTTTTTAAGTTGCTAAAAATCATCTGTTTCTTCCACGGGTATAGTCTGAAAGACATCCAAAGCGTCTCCTCGAAGAGCGATGGTTTAATTTATTGCCTTCTCTCGTTCAGACCATTCGTTTGCTCTGGCAGCTGTTTCGAACTGCTTAAGGTAGTTCGTCCATGACACCTTTGCGTCAAAAGTTGGGACTTTAACACGAGCAGAATTTACAGCCTCTTCCAATTTCAACTTCAACTCTACCTCATGGCACTTTATTTCACTGTCCTTGACCGGTTCAGTATGTTCCAGTTCTTTTCCATTTCTTTTATTTTTTCCTCAACGGAAGACATTATTTTCTCCTCAACGGAAGTCTTATTTTCCACATCAGCAGAAATTTCATTTTTTAAAGAAGACATTTCGGAAGATACTTCTAAGGAAGAAATATTAGACGAAAATTTATTTTCCATAGAAGACATTTTGTTTTCCAAGTCGGAAGAAATTTCTCTTTAAAAGAGGAGATATCAGAAGAAACTTTAGTTTCTAAAGAAGATATTTCGTTTTTCACGGAAGCAACATTAGAAGACACATTTTCTTCTAAGGAAGAATTATCAGAAGAAACTTTATTTTCCATAGAAGAAATGTCACAAGAAATATTGGTTTTCATGGAATACATTTTACTTTCCAAAGAAGAAATTATAGAAGACGCATCATCAGAAAATAGATACGTTTCTGGAACCAAACCTTTACTTTCCGGTACTTCTTTAAGCCGCTTAGCCAGCTCTGCTTTCTTTCCTGTTGTTTCCAGATCACGATTTTCTAATTCTCGACACAATTCAGCCACTTTTAAATCACACAGTTTTGTAGCCGTGATTGTCCACTATTTATTTACAATATTCCACTTCTCGACAACAATGTGATGTTTGTTTATTTTAAACAACAGTTTATTTATTAATAATTTATTCAAACACTTATTTATTTTAAAACAATACTATTCTAATTTATATATATATATATATATATATATATATATATATATTGAATGTCTCTAAACTGTTTACTATTTATCTTCACAGTCCAATACTTTATTCTCAAGGGTCTTTATACAACTGACCACCGCGTTGATTTTCCACCAATATTTATTTACAAATTTAAAATTCTGATGGTTTACACAATGCTCCTCCGCCAAACTAGAAATATCTTGTTATATCTGGAATATACTAGAAACATTATCACGTTGACTCAGGAATGTACGCGAAAGCGCCTCCACCATAGTAGTCACATATGTTTGGTCTTAAGGGGTTTAATTATGTATGAAAATCGGACAAGTTAAGCCTCAAAAACCAAATGAGACAGAGAGACTTGGAGGATTAGAGCATGACTAAATAATGAAATAGCTCGCATTACAATATTGTTTTTAATTACTAGTATATATTATTATTGTTTAATTTTTTACGAAATATACATTGTAAAAAAATATTACTCACCAGAAATTGCTTGGCCTCGGCCGTAAATTTCTGATTCAGTCGAAAAAGATCAACTTTTTATTTATAGTCTTTGGTACACAAATAACTATTTTATTTCTGTAAATATCATTAAAAATTTATGAGTTTCTTATCTATAAAATTGTTATTCACACTTGCCACACCTAACCTTACATTTCGGAGTTATTAAAAGATAAACAGTTTTCTAAGATGTATGCAAACAGTATACGACAAGCATACGAATAATGTTATTACAAACAGTTTATCACCTTGACAAACAATATAGTGCTTTTCATTACATTTGGCACTGGCCCATTGTAAACCATCTGATAATGGATCATACCAAACTTTTGCACATTTCTCGTCGTTTTTTTCACTAGGTTTACCAGTTCCCCAATATTTGGCATCTATTTTAATATCGGTACTGTGCCACGTGTATGGAGATTTTCCATCTTTCCTATATGCATTAATATAGTAGTGTTGTCTGTCATCTAAAAAAAATACCTATTAATAAAGGAAAAAAGACTAAGGGAAAACACAAGAATATTGTGATCAGTACAAACATATTTCAAAGTCTTTTAAAAATATTCTCAGTTACTAGCAGTCTTAGTGGCGTAGATGTCTTACGCGCTTGCATTCACTTCAACCAATCTTGTAGTTAAAAGACACTTAATTTCGAATCCTACAGCAGACTATGTAAATTTTTAATTAATTTGCATGATTTATCTTAGGATTGATTAATGCCGCATTAGCAGAAATTTAATTTCTGTTGATATTACATTGAGATTATAAATCGCTATGCGCTACCATTTTGATTATGATGGGTGTGGTTTTCAATGTTTTGCTTACCTGTAAGTCAAATGGTACCATCAGTCATCTTTAAGTCTCTCCGGAGTGCCACGCAAAGAATAATAATAGCAGTCCCTTCCCCGGATAAGCCCAGATTTTGAGCTTAAAATTCACTCGTAAGGAGGTGAATTAGGGAAAGTATTTCTATTATTAACAATAACACAATTTTAAGAAAGATATTACTTCGTCATAAGACAGTTCCTGCTTTTGTTGTTTATTTCTTATATTACTCATATAGGTATTATTGTATTTTTTTCTTTAAAATCCTTAAATGTTGGCATGAATATTGAGATCTTAGAGAGTAAGGAAGTCAAATATTTCGGAATTAGACTGGACCATCAGGTAAAGAGTTAGTAAAACAAATAATAATAATTAAAATATTACTTTTCCCAGTTCATCCCCTTACGATTGCGTTTTAATCCCAAATGCCGAGCTTATCCGGGGAAAGGACGGTTAATATTATTATTTGCCGTGGCGCTCCGGGGCGACTTAAAGATTATTGATGGTGCGATTTGACTTGAAAACCCGGAAAACCTCATCCACTATTATCATTAAATTATCACCAAATTGAAGATCATTTAACAAAATTTAAATAATAATATTTTCGGGTTTGATATAAAATAAATAAAATTTACATTTTCTTTGGTAAAATCATTAATTTCTTATGGTATTTTGGGATGGAACGGGTTATTAATTATTTTTTTATAATCAATGACCAGTAGAAAGGGGATCCCTTGTGCCTGGGAAAATTTTAACAATAGTGTGAAAATTTCAAGTATTTTGGCAATTGACCTACATTTTTTTATATTTTATTTCTAAACGAATTGTTTTTAAATTTGCCTTAATTGTTTTTAAATGTTTTAATTAATTTTTCCAATTGTCTTAATAATGTCATCGCAGTAAGACGCCATATCAATAATTTCTTGGACCATATAAGGGCTAAGGGCTCAACTCTGTTGACATCAGTGTACCTCAATACACAATTTTTTATTTCGAAGCTCGTCATACCAACCATACAAGTCGCAATCTACTGCAGATTAATAATACTTAATTCATTCTTTAATTCCGCAATCCATCATTTAAATTTATAAAAATTATAATGAAGGAAAATTCTCGAAGGCCATGTCATACAAACAACGAACGACCATTTTGCACTTGAGAACTATTACTCCCTTGGCTGATACCGCAATAGGTTTTTCATTATATCAAAAGGTGAATAGCGAAGTTAAAAAATAATTTTCAACACTCTAACTTGATTTTGCTTCCTAAGTGCAAATAACGTTACAATTATTTTTGATTAGTTTATTACTTATTTATTCCTAATCATCTTTTATGCATACTAACGCAGGTCCACGGAAGCAAAATCAAAGTTAGATTGTTGACAATTATTTTCTATCTGTGCTATTCACTTTTTAATATAATGCAATGCCTGTTCCGGTATTAGGCAAGGAAGTAGTTGTTTTCAGGAAAGAAATGATCACTCGTTCCCAGACAACACACTAAATCCCAGAGATATCCACAGAATATCTTTTGTGGATATCCAATATATCGACAGGATATCAGAAATATTCCGTGGATCTAATATGGATATCCAAATGTCCGTCTATATTCAGAATACAGAAGATATCATATGGATATCCAGCAAAATATCTAATGAGTATCTTCTAGACAATACAAGAAATCCCAGAGATATCCACAGAATATATTCTGTGGATATCAAATATGGATATATAACCAAGTGTCCGTCTATATCCCAGGATATAGAAGAATTCGGATATTCAGCAAAATATTTTATGGGTATCTTTAGTAGAGGTTTATAAGTAACCAATCATTTTTGAATTAAGTCGAAAGAAAATAGCAGAGATAAAAAATATTTTCAACACTCAAAATATTTTGAACACTCTGCCTTTTATTTTGCCCACTAAGGAGAAAGTTATCCTTATTAAGACACTGCTCAGCAATAAATGGAAATTCTCGATTCCAGTCTCTAATAGAGTGTGATTGTAAAACAAATTTTGATCGAACTCAATTACGGCGGGTTGAGCATGAGTAGATGCGAAAGTAGTATCGCCATCTATACTTAGTAAGCAAAATCAAAAATTACATCTAGTGGATATGCACGATGGTTTGCGTTCGCGCTTAGACTTTGATATATTTAATGGATGTCCATGGGATATTGAATACACCTTAAAAAAATTAATTTTAAATATCTGATCGGTACTATTGGCCACAATGGCGAGCACAATGGCGTATTTTTTTAATAATTTGCTATATAATTACTATTATTTATGGACATTTGCATGTCTATAAATTACAGCTCATGGATATAAAATAGATATCCACCATGGTCTGGACAATCAGTGGATATTGGGATGTCCAGTAGATATCCAAAGGATTTGGTGTGCTGTCTGGGTTGTTTGTATCGGGTCGGTGGTGTAGCAGTCTCACGCGTTTATATTCATTTATAGGCAAGTTTATGGTCAGAGACAGACGGGTTTCGAATCTTAATCTTAATTTTAATCGAATTTTAATTAAATTGCATGGTTCGATATAGGATTTGATGTGTGCCGTATTAATAGAAATTTAATTTCTGTTGATATGACATGCAGATTATAAAATCGTCATGCATTACCGTCTCGATGATGGTGGGTGAGGTTTTCCGGGTTTTCCTCACCTGTAAGTTAAATGGCACCATCAATCATCTTTAAGTTGCCTTGGAGCGCCACGGCAAATAATAATAATTGCTGTCCCTTTCCTTGCACAAGCTTATCTTTTGGGGTTAAAATTCACTCGTAACGGGGTGAATTAGGGAGAGTATTATTATTATCATTATTATTATTTTTAGATTTTCTCTTTTTCCATCATTATTTATTTTGAAAATAGATTCCTTCATTTAAATATTTATTATTTTTAATTTAATATCTATATTTTTCCAATTTCATGAATCAAATACCTCTACTTACTATTATTTTAAATAATTTTTAAACTATGTTTTACAAAAAAAATTATTTCCATAAAATAAATTATAATCAGTCACTCATATTAAAGAATTTATAATTTTAAAAATAATGCTGTCCATATATAAAAACAAAATTTAGCTCTGTCTGAGACTACAATTTAAAAAAAAATAAATATTTGAAATTATTTGGCACCATTAGCTTTAGAAACGTTACCATTAAAAATAGTCCCATAAATATTGTTATAAAATTTATTTATTTTATTTATGTATTATATTTACACATTATAATGGCCTCAGGATATTGAGTACCATTTAATTGTTATGATATGTTGCACTCTGGTTAAAAAATATATATTATGTTATTAATGGGTGGCACAAAATTGATCGAAAACATTTGATCGAATGCTTTTGATCGAAAAACCATTTTATCGAATAACATTTGATCGAAAAGAAAAATGATCGAACAGAAAAATGATCGACAAGAATAATGATCAAGAAGAAAATTGATCGAAAATAGATTTGATAGAAAAGACAATTGATCAAAAAACCAAATATTCTTAAAATTATAGAATAGTAAGAAAAATAAAAACAAAAATTTTAAATAATTAACCTAACCTGTGTGGCCTAGAATCATCGCTGGTTGCTTCGCAAAAACAAAAAAAAAAAAATAAAATAAAGTTAAGTAACTAACCCAACTTGTGCGAGAGCAATCAGTTAAATTTGAATAGCATAGGTTAGATAAATTAGTTTTTTTTATTTTTATAATTTTTTTTGCGAGGCAAACCGCGACGTTTTCAGACTGGAGAAATTTAACTGATTGCTCTGATACAGGTAAGTTAGTTAAGTTTTATAAAAATAAATAAAAATAAAAAAACCTAACTAATTTACCTAACCTGTGCGGCCTGGGGCAATTTAACTGATTGTTCTGACAGAGCTTAGGTAAGTTAGTTAGTATTTTGATAAACTTAACTAACTTACCTAAAACTTAACTAACTTACCTAACCTGTGTCAGAGCAATCAGTTAAATTGCTCCAGGCCGTACAGGTTAAGTAAATAGGTTAGGTTTTCTTTATTTTTCCCTTTTTTGTATATTTTTTATTGCGAAGCCACCCTTGAGAACTCCAGGCCGCACAGGTTAGCTAAATTAGTTAAAGTTTTTGTTTTCAGTTTTCTTATTTTTCTATAAAAATTTTTTGCAAGGATAACCGCGTAAGATCCAGGCTGCACAGGTTAGATAAATTAATTAAATATTTTATAATAAAAAAAACTAAACTAACTTACTTGACATACGCTACAGCAATCAGTTAAATTTAAATAGCGTAGGTTAGGTTAATTAGGTAAGTTTTTATTTTTCCCTTTTTTGTATAATTTTTTTTGCGAAGCAACCCTCGTGTGCTCCAGGCCGCACAGGTTAAGTAAATTATTTAATCTTTTTATATAAAAAAATCTTAAAATAATTTACCTAAAATGTCCCATCGGGAGACAACTGGACCTTATTGAAATACATATTTTGTGCGAATTAATCAATTTTTTTTAATCCAAATGAAGATAAATAACCGTTTAGATCTAAAATAAATGTTTTTAAATTAACAATATTATAATGGGGTGGGTGACTCAGTGATAGAGTCTCTGTCTGTGGATCCAAGGGTTCGAATCCCACGGTTGAACGGGATTTTTTTATTTAATTTAAATATTTAAAATTAGTTCTGATGCCTTGGTAGGATTCCCCACTCGAGCATTCACTGTTGGGTTCTAATTAACAGTGCTGTTTTTAAAGTGGCTCTGGGAAACAGTAACAAAGCCTACATAGAATACGAGGCGAAATAACCTTAGCAGTTGAAGCCGAGGACAAAAAAAAACAATATTGTAAGGATAGAATTTGTTGAACGAGGTATCTATCATTTGAGATTATTGAAAAATTTGCCATTAGTACCCTTTGATTTTTTGATATTTTACTATTTTAAATGTTGATTTTCAATATATTGTCATTTCGATATAATAAATTTTCGATCTATTGTCTTTTTGATAAAATGTTATTCGATAAAATATATCTTCGATCAGATGTTATTCGACCAAATGTATTTTCGATCAAATTCCATTCGATAAAATGTATTTTCGATCAAATTTCCAATTCGATCAAATGTTTTTCGATCAATTTTGTGCCACCCGTTACTAATTTATTGAAAATAGTAATCCCCAAAGGCGTATGGTGACACTCAAAGCCGATCTGCACGCAGCACGCTGAGCCGTACTTTCCACCCTTGAGAGCTTTTGCCTTCGGGTTGGTATTTTCTTATCATAATTATGTCGATTTCAGAACATATTTGGTAAAATTTATTTTTAAAATTTTATCATTGATACTCAGGATCATTTATCGTATAATTTGTATCAATTAAATTTAACCAAAAATGATCAGATAAATTACTTGACCCCTCGTGTTATTTAGTATTCTTGAAGGGGTTGCCAACCCGTTAGGGGGATGAACCTACATCCATAAATTAAAGATCAGAAGAAGTCCTCCTTGAAATCAAAATCGACTGGTTTCGGGGATTTCCCAAAAAAACTTCTAATAGGAAAATATTTCAGGTGGCCTGTTTTAATTGATTTAAAAGAAAAAAGTGTAATTAAATATGTTTTAACACTGATATAAGAATTATTATAATACATTCCATCGTAAAGAAAATTTTTTTCATGCCAATATTGCCAGCCAAGCATAAGGCTAATAGATAGATATTTAGTATCAAAATTATATATTGTAAAAAAAAGGTTTGGCGTAATAATTTGGTTATAGTTTTATTTTTGGATACAAAATATTTCTGTATTTAATAACAATACAAATTAATTATACTAAAATAGCAGTATCTAGAACAGATAATTTTGATTTTAAATGTAAAAAGTTCGGAGACTGCAGACTTTTCTGCTTATCCTAAATGACAACTTCGTTTATGTTTTGTTAGTCGTGTACCAATGTTTCTCTTTGTTTATCCTATATATACTTTTCCACAATTGCATTGAATTCTGTAAACTTTTGCTGATATAAGGGCGTCTTTGCGGTATTTTTCTGATTTAAGGTATTCCCTAGTTTCTTTTTTAGCTTGTCTTGTTCCTTTGGGATTTTGCCAATTAGGTCAGTGACACCTTCTACGTACGATAGATACACAGTTATTTGTTTTTTTTGTCACCAAACTTGGTCTTATTCTCCCTTGGGTGAGTAGCGCGGATTAGGTTTTTTGCTGCATTCGTTTGCTTGTAATACTGTTTTCAGGTGTTTTATTTCATCATTTTGTATATCTTTTTACGCTTTACATATTTTTAACGCTCTGTTTAGTAAGGTGTTAATAACTCTGCGCTTCTGTTTTGGATGATGGTTTAATCCATATGATAGGTTTCAATCAGTGTGTGTCTTCTTTCTGTGTACTCTGTGGCCTAGTTTATTATCTTTTCGACTGTATAATACATCTAGGAAAGAAATTTGTTGGTTTTCTTTTATTTATATGGTAAACTGGACCTTAGGATGAAAACTGTTTAGATGGTTTAGAAAAATTTAAAGGTCTTTGATTGTTTTTCAGCAGTATGAATACCTCTCTTCAAATTTTTTTATGTAAAAATTGGCCACAACTGGGCTGAGTGGATCGCCCAAAACGACTTCATCAATTTGTTTATAGAATGTTTTGTTTCTCTGGAAATATGATGTTGTGAGCTTTGGAAAAAACTTCCCTATGTAGCTGACTACTTGTTCGAGTGGCACATTTGTAGAATGTCGTTAGGTTTTAAGCTGATACTTTTTAAGTGTTCAATGAAGAGCATAGAGTCTCGCACGTAGGTCAACGCCACTGAAAATGGCTGCCGTAGTTACAGCTGAAACATTTGGTATGTAATCATCACATCTCGGAAACAAACAACTACATTGACGCCGGCCGCGAAAGCCTACATTCTTACTTAAGATTTTATGTTATATTATTATCAATTCCAATGCATCCAATGGTTGGAAAAATTAAAAAATCTTTAATTTTTTAATGACATTAGTGAAAAAATATATTTTTTGTGAGAATACCTCGCTTAATTTGGGGGCCTCCGAATATCTTGGGCTCTCGCGAACCGCGGGCCCTTCGGGACTATCATACGCGTCACTGTTTGATATGGTACATTATGGCAATTCAATACTACAAATTTATTTTAATAAAATTACTTTAATGTATGTAGCAAATAGTAATTATTATTTTAAAATACGACAAAATCTTACCGTTTTTTCTTAATATATCAAGAAGACTATTTTTTATTTTCTCACTGTCGAGACCAATGATACACTGTTTAAACTTTGATTGACATTCATCTACACTTTTCCAAAATCCTTCTGTCCGAATATAGGTAAAATTAATCATAAATGGGTTTTCTGGATCAGGTGGACCTGAAACACAAAGGGTTTCCAATAATATTTTGAAAAAGTTACACAAACGATTAGCTAGGTAAAATTGAACCACTAAAATATATTTATTAAATATATCTCTTATCTACGACTATTCCTAAAAAGATACGCAATTTTAAACCATACGTAAAAGACCAATGCATTTTAAATGGGAGTTTGAGACTGAACTTTTTAAAGAATACATTTTAAAATAATAAATAACAAAAACTACAAAAAAAGGTATATCAATTTACAGAGTATCAAAAAACAAGAAATGTTCATTTTTAAACCAAACGAAAGAAATATTAATATAAAATAATGACAAGTCTAATAAAAAGTCCGGTAATATTACAATTATAATAATAAATGCTTTTATTAGCCAATTTAATTAATACAAAGAAAATATATATTATTGTGTATAACGAATAGTTTGCCATTTGGTGGAGTTTAAATTCTATGATAAAAATCAGAGTTTTGCTCTTCCATTTAACCAAATCTGGTCAGTAATATTGTAAATAATTGCTTAAATTTAAAAATTCATATTTATTTAGATAAGATTAATCATATTTCTTTTGTTAATGTTATATATCTCCCTAGTTTGTTGCAATTTTAAATAGAATTAATTTAATGACATTATAAACTTTTCCATCTATGAATTGACACACGTGAGTGAATATGGCGAAGGCGCAAAAACATTATTCAATACATTTTCATCATAAATATTTTATTCATTTTATTTCAAAATATCAAATTGTTACTTAGCATATTAAAACAAAAAAATAGATTACGCATTTCAGTACTTTTACCTTGCAAATTCTGCTGTAGAAGCTTTTATGGGTGACTCCTACGTAATTTAAAGCGCCGATCCTGAATTTCATTAAAAGTTTCCTCGGCAACGTTGCCAGTTTTAGAAAAATTGTGTTTTTCAGGCCCATATTTGGTATATTGCTCGTTTCCATGCATTTTAGTAAAAAAGTGGTTATTTTCAAAATTGTTTGTACAAAATTTCACAAATGAATTATGCACCGGGCGTAAACAAAATGTGACACCGTAAGGGTAGTTCACAACCTTTATTATAGTCTAGACAAGAAATGAGCGCAATAATTTAATTTTTTTGAGACCGACCAAAAAGTATACATTTTCTGAACAATGTTTTATCCAGAAAATAAAGTTTTGCCGATCAAAATCAGAAAGTAGACCGTAGGGACAGGTAAAAGTTTCACCGGTCCCTGTTTTTCATTTTTCTGATCGATATATGATAATGCAATCTGCCTTGATTTCGTTACTATGGTAAGAACGTTTCGATTTATTGCCAAGGGACAGTTCGTTGATTTTTAATTTGTTGTTTATGTCAAACTTGTTTCCGCAAATTTAACCGATTTACGCCTACCGTCCTTTTAAAAGTACTTCAAAAAGAAACCTATATTTTTCTGATTCAGCTGACGGTTTGAAGATGTCGCCAGTATCACGTTATATTTAGTTGACATCTTAAACAAGATCAATCGCCATCGTTAGGGTTTTGTTAAGTTTTGGATCGATAGTGACGGTTAAAAAACACTGTGTTGTTAGTGATTTTGCAATGAGTGACTCAAGGTAAGATATGTTAAACCTCGTTTATTTTTTCGTTGCTGTTTTGATTATTTTTAACAAATAACATAATATACTTACCTTTTTTATATTTGTGGTTATGTTTCAAACTTCTCGATCATTCCAGGGGCGTTCAATTTAACGGTTCCTTTTAAAAGGACGATAGGATTATATGCTACTATATGCGTTTTTTTGCATGCATTGGAAAAAGCCACTAACCATGACACAACTCTTAGAAGAATTGAAGAATGACTATACGCCGGACATTCCTACAGGAATTACAATTTTTCCACCCGAAAATGCCAACGAAACCTACGATACCGATGAAGATTCTGGGGCTGTAGACGATATAGATCCAAATAATTTACCCGGAGTGCAACTAAGGGCCCCGGCGGATATCGAATTTGACGTGGAAGGTGATGACGACGGGGACAGTGCTGAGGATCTACCACTGTCCACTTTTGTTGAAAGGCGACCTAAACACATAAAGACGTTTGACTATACTCTCAATGAAGATTTAGATTCTACGTTTATACAATGGCAACCAGTTCAAACTGCACAAAGCAATCGTTCCCCTGGAAATATTTTCAAGCTGTTTTTTGATGAAAACTTGGTAGGACAAATTGTCTATTTTACCAATATTTATGCACAACAAAAAAACCGCCCACCGGTAACGTTACTGTAGACGAGATGTATTGCTTCATAGGGGTGTTACTTGTCAGTGGATATACAACTGTTCCAAGGCGACATATGTATTGGCAAAATTGCAGCGATACCCAGAATAAACTTATATCATCCGCTATTTCCAGAGATAGATTTCAATTCATAATGAGTAATCTTCATTGCAATCATAATACTTCCCTTGATAAAAATGACAAGTACTCTAAATTGCGTCCTCTTTTCAACAGCCTAAATAAAAAGTTTTTTGATTATGCCCCAGTTGAAGAGAATCGCAGCTTTGATGAGGCGATGATACCGTATTTTGGGAGATATAGCGGTAAGCAATTTATTAAAGGTAAGCCTATAAGGTGGGGGTATAAATTTTGAGTAGGTACCCTACGTCTTGGATACATTGTTTATTTTGATCCCTACCAAGGTGCGTCGACAACAATTCCGGACAAATATAAACACATGGGTTTGGGAGTGTCAGTTGTTCTCCAATATGTAGATGTTTTACAGAAAATACCTTACGAGCCCTTTCACTTATTTTTTGACAATTTTTTTACATCTTTGTCACTTCTAAAGGAGCTAAAATTGAGGAACATCAAGACAACTGGTACTATACGTGAAAACCGGATCCCTCAATCTCCATTTAGCAATGCTAAAGTTCCGAAGAAAAAGGCACGAGGTGCCTTTGAATGGGGTGTTGCCGATAATGAAATCGATTTATGCAAATGGAATGACAACAGCGTTGTTACTTTAGCCACCAATGCATGTTCAGTTTTGCCAGTAAATAAGAAAAAACGATTTTCACAAGCTGAAAAAAAAGCATGTTTATATACATCAGCCACAATTGATCAAGGCGTACAACGAAAATATGGGAGGTGTAGACCGTAGTAACCAAAACATAAGCCTATATAGAGTTTCAATACGAGGTAAAAAGTGGTATTTTCCGTTATTTTCCCACTGTGTCGACATGGCCTCACAAAACTCGTGTCACCTCCATAGGAATGATGGTGGTACCCTAGACCAACTTCAGTTTAGGAGGGACCTAGGGACTCAGCTGATCGAAACGTACAGGAAAACAACTAAGAAAGGACCTTTGAAATTGCCAAAAACCGTGCACCAATTCTCACGTTACGATAGACTAGATCATTTAGTTACATATCACGAGAGTCAGCGAAAATGTGCTGTGTACCACAAAAAAGCAAATTTTGTGTGCCAAAAATGTGACGATGGTCTTCATCCAAAAAACTGTTTTGTGGCCTATCATACTAATTAATTTTTAAGTTTGAGTTTTAAGTATTTTGCTAAGCATTTTGTTAGATTTATAACAATATTTTTAAATCTTTATTTATTTTTCTAATAGTAGCCCTTTATCCTACCGTCCTTTTAAGAGGAACGCTGTTTTTTTTCTAAAAATGAAAATCGAACATTTTTTTATGATTTTTTCTCGACTTATGGGACCTTCTATTAACCATTTTTGAGAAAAAATTATACAAAATCGGAAAAAAAAAGTTTTAGGGTCAAATGGGTTAAAAATATGGATTCAGATTTTGAATTATCTGACATAGAAAATAAAATTCCAGCAGAAATTTTGGAAGCAGAAAAAATGTACAATTAACATAAATATTTAAACATAATGTATTTGGTTAGTTTATGTAATTGTATGAATTATAGAGTTTTAGTATTTATTAATCACTTTATTAAATTAAATAAATAATTGAGTTTACATCAGAGTGTCGGTCTTAAAAAAATATTGTACGTCTCGCGATCGAAAATTATTGTTAAGCAGGTCTTTCCAAGTTTTCACGTCTTGACCTGCAAAACATTACTTTCCGGTCTTGTAACGTAAACTAATATTATAGAACGTAGTACAGATTCAAGAGGTAGACTTTTTATTTTTGCTATATCCTTCAATGCTTATTTGTAGTTAAAATGAAAATTTTATTACATCTGATCGGCCTAATAAAAGTTTTCGTTTAGATTTAATCATGAGTCAATGGTTTTTACTGTAGTGAACCTCTTTTTTGACCCAATTTTGTATTAGTACATATTATAATTTTACAGTAATATAGGAATGGCATTAGAAAATATTGCAAGCAACAGTACGTGTAAACGATGTAATAAAAATAATGCATTATCTTTAGAAAAAATAAAATATATCGCCCGTAATGTATTTAATAATCTTTTAGAAGACTTTGTTTCACTTTCAGTAGATGAAATTCCCACCTAATATGAGACCTATACTGGAGTATCTAAGCGGACAGTGTATAACATTTTTAAAGAACATACAGTTATTGGAGGAGTCTCAGATCCGAAAAAGCTCCCAGGAACAAACAATACTTTTCCTTAAACTTGAGTGAAGAATGAAATATGGCAAATGATACATTCTTTTTTCTTTCGAAATGAAATTCCTACACATAAAAAATTATACCCACAAATAGAAAATAGCCCCACTTTTAAAATTATATCATTTGTATTTACAAAAAATATTACATAAATTAAATTTTCGTTACAAAAAATGTGACAGAAACAGCTTTCTAACAAAGAAAGACTAACTAATTGCTTAAAGACATTAATATTTAAGGAAAATGGCGGACGCAAGGAATTAGCATAAACATATATTTTATTTTGATGAAACATGAGTTAATGCTGGACATACAGTAACAACAATTTACCTTCATCAAAACTAAAAAACAAATCCGATTTAATTTAACTATATAAAAAGAAATAAAAACATATTTCAACGCTTAAGATTTAAGTAAAATCTTAATCTTTAAATTAATTATTTCTTTAATTGCAGTATAACTCATTATGGAATGGATCTCTTCGTGATTAAAAAATCCAACTGGAAAAGAAAATCGTTCAATAATAACCCACATTGGAAGCACCGATGGATTTTTGCCAGATGATTAATTAATATTTGAGTCAAAGAAAACAGAAGACTATCATCAAGAAATGGATGACCCTATGTTTGAAAATTGGTTTCACAACATTAAAAAAAAATTCAACCAACTCCGGTATCGTTTTGGATTAGTCCTTCTAAATCCTGAATTACTCGTAGTAGCAAGGCAACATAAAAGAAATTAAATAAATATTATAGACGAGATGGCCAGATTAAAAACATTTAAAATTCTCAGATTGCCTCCTTACTAGGCAGAGTTAAATCCCATTGAACAAATCTGGTCACAATTAAAAGGTTATGCTTCTCGATACAATACAACATTTAAATTACCTGATGTGTGTAATTTCTTTTGTAGGTAGTTTCAGATGTAAATTGAGAACTTTGGAGCAAATGCATTGATCATGTTAAAAAGGTGGAAAGTGGATATAGCAATGGAAAATTTAATAGGCCCTCAAAAAAGGCAATAATAATGATACCAGTAGTTATAGTGACTAGAGTAACTTTTAAAAATATTTCCTTAACTTTTTATTTATTTTAATCTTTCATTTTAGCTGTTAAAGTGTCTATATTAATTTTTTTTAAGAATGTGATTTTTTTCATATACCGTTGTAAAGAGGCTTCCAAGACCTTACAAATGAAGTATCACTTAACCTCTCTTCCCTATTCAATTTTGAGGGGTTAAAGCGTCCCCTCATAGAGGGTTGCTCGTTCAAGCCTCAAACATACGTCAAAAGATGTACCCCAAAAAAAATCATCCGACTTGTTTTGAGAAATTTTTCCAATTACAATGGGATAAGAAGTATACGGGGCTCGTCTGAGATAGAACACCCTGTATAATGCAATATAAAAGTTATTTTTAGAATCGACTCATCTTCACTTACCAACAAACAACAAGATGGTTAGAAAAATTTAAACTACATCTCTCTCATCGTATAGGTCTCTCTCAGTAAATAACATACCAACGTTCGATTCCGTCAACCAATAGCGAACCGGCACCTTAAGTCACCAGATCTTGCCAATGGCAAGAAGGGTGATCGACGCTGTTTTCGAGTTTACGCAAGTCTGATTCATTCTCACACTTAACCAGTAAAGTTTTTTTATTTGCTTTCTGCCAAAATTAGCACGGTGAAGTAAGATGTTATAATTACCACTTATTGTAATGTACCAATTTAAGTACAGTGTAAGAATGTAACAGTTTGTATCAGAGATTATCAAGTTTAAATAAATACGTAAAAGGAAGAAACATTTTTAATTTTAACCAGTGTAAGTGAATTCAAAATCCAGTAGTTGGTGCTGGAACCACCTATAAAATAGTAATATAATCTTGTTATTTTATCTATTTTTATAGTGTTTTAAGCTCTATGATTTTGGGGAGTGGGTCAGGTTATTAAACAACTCGTATTACTTTGAAAAAGAATGTTGAGCCCACTATATTTAAAACTTACTAAACTTGACAATCGATTAGTGATGAAAATATAGAAAATCACTAACCATTAAGATATTATAATTAAATAAGGTTTTAGATAAGGTAGCGACAAATTCTAATTCATATAGACTTACTTATTCAAATTTAAATGATTTATTATTGACTTATCTGTGGTATAACAGGTAGCAGGTACAGGGAATTCGTATGATATGCTAGGATATCACCAAGTGTTAAATCTTCATAGGTAAAGTTAAATCTCGTAAACTTCTTTGGATGGCTCGAACTAAACCTCTTAAAATACTTGAAGCAACTTCTGTAGCTGGAACTAAAGTTCTAAGTTTCAATATTTTTACACATGCAGCTGGAACGTTCTTTCAAACAATTTTTTCGATAAAACTTCTACAAAACTTCTACAGAACCATCGATATAACTTCTATAGAACTTCTACTGAAACCATCTATATACAGCCAGGCTGCAAGGCAAAAGGTAAAAATATCAAGAAAGGAATTAGCAAGAGTATATAGGAAACAGATAGAATGCTTCTTACAATCAAATGAACAAATTAAACTATTATATGAATAGTTTCACAGAGACTAGAATTAATATGAATAGGAAAAATCTTATTTAACATATTTAAATATAGTAAAGGATATTATCTCTTTCCTAACAAAACAATATATAATATTATATAAAACATGTGATTTCTTGTGTTTTCATGTTGAGGTTATGTTTCAAATTTGACATTTTAATTAGACATTCTTGTACTAAATATATATTTTCAACAAAATATCGGTAGGAAACTTACCTTTTTAAAATCAGACGGTCCTTAAAAATATTAAAGGCATAGTACATCGGATGTCCAAGATAAAAGATAATTAAAACTCAATAATCAACTTGCTCGTTGACAGCTATAAATCGAAAATGAATTGCCAACTGTTGACACAAGGCATAAACGACAAATGACATTAGGGTAGAGATGTTTGCGTCAAAATAACGAAAACGGTTACAACCGTTACACAGTCCATAGCCGAAGGGAAACCCATCTACGTGACTTGGAATCGAGTAGAAAAATTCCGTAGCCCCAAGAAACGAGTAATAAAGCAAAATAGCAACTTTGGACACAAAAAATTGTAAAATTGACAACGTTACCGAGAGAAATTTTGGTGGGAAGTAGCAAATTCAAATTTTCCGGTAAAAATATAGGAATCACCCGTAAAAGCTTCTACCACAGAATTTGCAAGATAACCTTCTTTGTGGCTCCAATGGCTGGACTAAAAAACTTACCTTTAACATCCGGTTCTCTAGGTGTTTCACAAATGTACCTAAATTTTGATTTGATATTCGAATCCCACCAGAATAATTCTTTTCCATCGTGTTGTAACGTAAGGTGTGTACGAGGTTGTGTTTCAAATTGCAGCGTATTATCAGGTCTTCCTTGGCCAAAATGTCTGAAGCTAAGTCTTTCCATATTATACCAACGAAACTCGACGTTGTAATGATTTACGCCTTCTTTGGTTCTCCTATCTCCTCCCATGTAATACTGGTAGGTATCCCCTAATTTATATATTTTTTGTTAATATATTGGTATGAAGATATAGTACTTCCAGTCGATAGTTGGCGAAGAAAAAATTATATAAAAAAGTGACTGGTGCCTACACAGAACCGCGTTCAAAAAATTTTATCCAAATGATTTTTTTGATAAATTGGTATATCAAAATTTTTATAAAGTTACTTTATATTTTATTAGGTAGAAAAAATTTAAAAAACTAAAAAAATAATTACCTTGTAGTAATTTACGAACTATAGTCTTCAACTACACGTGTTATCCCACGTTACTTATTTAATGTCATCAATTAGCTAAAACTAACATGAGTAACTTCAGTAGTAATTTTAAAATAATGATACTGACTTATTTGACAAAATTTATGCTTAAGATGTCATAAACGTCACTAAAAAAGGACATTTTCAATAAATTTATTGTTTTACCAGATTCGAGTACTGTTGACTCGTTTAATTTACTTCAGAAAATCAAATTATTTATAATTTAATATTTTTATTTGATTTTCTTCCAATATAAACAACATATTTCGGTTATTTTTCTCGTATGATTTATTTTTTCATTCCTATTTTATATTTTCCTATTCTTCTAAATCATTTTCTTTTGATATATATCGCCAATAAATAGCTCAACCATTTTCGCCAGCTCCATATACTGATCTTTTCCATTTCGATTTGTACTTCTTTCGACACCATCTTTAAAAATAAGATATATTTGTCTTTCAGCTGTACCATTTAAAAAAGCATTTTTTTTTTAATTCCTTGGTGTTAATCCATCAATTTTTTTAATATTTGCCTTGGCTTTAGAGGACAAATGCTATAATTACAAGTCGAAGCCGAGGTATAAAATTAAAAAATTACTCTCACTAATGTATTAATTAGCTAAATTTATACTGTTTTTATCATCTCTATTTATTTCAACTCAACTATACAACTGATAACGTAACCACATAACGTCCATCATAAAACAGACTGATTAAAATCAGGATCACTGACTTATATGGCTTGATTTAACTTTTTAGAACCTTCACGAAAGTTCAGATGTTTCTTGACGTAAAATTATATATTATTTCTAAACATTTCCCGAATATTCTTCCTTCTTTCTTTACTCGTAAATTTACTTATGAGGACCACATCAAACTGTAGGGTTATGGGTAACATTTCTCCCTCCTCTGTACTGATCGTCCCGAAAAACTTAATTACTGGGACCTAGTTGGAGCTAACGGGTAGGATCTGGACCACGGTATGGTGCTAACTATCAAATGTGATTTACCTTGAGTTTACTTCCCACTGACAGCCGAATGCAGTAGGTTGTTAAATTTTCTTAGGAACGTTGTAGAAACTTTCTCAGTTCTGTTTCAGTTTTTAACAAAGTCCTTCTCGGCTCTCTGCCTTGTCGCTGTTGGCTTTCAGATATTTCCGACCGAATCCGTAGACCTTTAACCTCCCATTGCATAAATCACATTTTTTACACCAATCCGCAACATCCCGTCAGCAACTGACCCAATAAAATTTTTCCCGAACTCGTGCCAGTGTCCTGTTAGTAACAAAATGTACTCCCGAACGGCTGCTATGAAGCTCCTTCAACACACTTCTTTCATGTGATTGCGGCCGTACCACTTGGCGGGCTACGTGTACTCGATCAGAGTTCTTCCACTTCCGATGCAATAGGCCATCGTGAAGATACAGGGAATTACACTGAGTCCAGTACCCTTTGGTGGCTCAACTGTATTTAGTTATCTCTGGCCAAGTGGGTGTGACTTTACTTTTAAGCCATTTCTGGACAACTTTTAAGTCATTGTCTTTTTTCTGCACACTTTTCAGACTTTTAAGGGTGATTCCTTCTTTGTCGCCTTCTGGCTGGATAGTGGTTGTCCGAAGAGTAACTTTCTCTTGTTCTCCGAGTTTTTTACTGCACTGGTATTCTCATTCTAAACAGAGTCGCCTGAAGAGAATGTCTGCGTTTATATGGAGATGGCCTCTTCGATGCTATATTTTCCAGTTATTACTAGAAAGCCGGCTAGGTGTGGGTAATCCGCTTTGTCGGGACGCATAGCTGTTTCATTTATTTTTTGTTGGACTTTGAAGGTTATTGATTCTTTCGCAATTAAAGCATCTCCTGCTTCTATTTTGACTGTTTCGTTGTATATTTTGCAGAATCTCCACCTTTGCTTTTTTTGCCCCTCTGCCTTCTCTTCGTCTTCGTCCTTCCTGCGCCTCTCCTTTTTCTTCTCTTCGTTCTTTCTGCGTCTTTTCTTCTCTTTTTCTCGCTTTTCATCTGCCTCCTCTTCTTTCTTTCTACGCCTTTTCCTGTTCCCCTCTTCTTTCTTCCTATGCCTTTTGTTTTGCTCCTCTTCTTCGGTTTAATGTCTTTTCTCTTGTTCTTCTTCATCCTTCCTACGTCTTTTTTTTCTTCATTTTCCTCCTTATGTTATGTTGATAATGGGGTGTTAATACACTGCGACCTAAAAGATCTATTGTGCCCCCTTCTGTCGCCACTGCACTAAGGAAATGTCTCAATGCCTATAGCGACCCTTCCAATCCTATTTTCTCAAGGAAGTGTAGGATTTGAAGTGGCTTCAAGTTAGGTAAGTCTCCCTTACCTCCCCCTTTCCTCCTTACAGCGCTCGTTTTTCTAATTTATATCTTCAAAAACCATGCTGAACCTGAAATATCTATATCTGTTTCGTATTCAGTGAATCTAGTATTTACCATGAACTTTTATTTTGTATCCCACCGCTGTCACCAATATTACGTTGGTTTTTGGTCCAGATGTTTCTTGACGTGCATTAAGATTCCTAGACATTTCTCGAATATTATTCCTTCTTCTTTCACTCGCACCTTTACTTATGACGACTGCAGGGTGATGTGTAACAATATTTTCCAGCCTTTTAAAAGTATTGGAATGATGACGCAACACGCTTTTTGACAAATATTTAAAAATATTTGAAAAAAACGTACATTTTTAGATTCGAAGTAATTTAAAAAAGTAAAAACCACACAACTGCAAATTATTATTTAAGATTAACAGACTACAGTTAAGTTTGACTCTGCTAGTTTAGTAGTAGATATTAGAGATGGGCAATACAGATAAATTCGTAGATTTTAAACTGTTGGAACGACGTTTCTGTTATTATTATGTTTTAGTGGTTTAATGTTGTATCCAAAGCAAGTACAGATGCCTTGGGTGAGAAATATACACGGTAGTGAAATATTTTTATAACCTAAATTAAAACAATACTTTCGTTACAAAAGCAGAAAAACCATTTCGTTCAATTAAAATTATACGCTATTGCTTAAAGTTATGGTAATTCAAAAGTATTTTTTTTTTATACAAATACAAATATATTTTGTAATTAAAGAGTCAAACGTTTACGCCTATAAATCAATAATAAATATCGTGTCTTTGCATTATAGGAATGGTGTAAATGAAAATACTACATGTACCCATATATCTTACGAGATCTGGTAAAATAAAGAATTTAATAATGCCGATTTTAGTGACTTTTATGTTAACTTAAGTATCAGTTCTGTCAATAAGATACCTTTAAGAGTTATTGAAGTTGTTATTGATACTTCTAGCCACCTGATGACACCAATTTAGTCACGTTAGATACAAATATTAATAAAGACTCTGTATCTCTTTTCTATTTCTTTACATTTGTCAACATGGAAATTTTATATTAAAAAAATATTAACTTACCTACTTTTATTTGAATAATTATTACCTATAAAACATAATTTAAAAATATAAATAACATATATTAAAGAAGATGATGTTTTAATGATATAAAAATTAAATTTTAAAAACTAATATGATATATTTTATTAAATGTACATAACTATACCTGTAGCAATTTTAAACGGTAGAAAATATTAGTCTCCAATACTTAAATATTACCTATGTTAAATAAAATGTTTATAACAGTTGTGAAAAACATCTCTTTGCTACTGGTACTTGGTTACCTACTAATCACTTGTCAGTTAATTTTTCCTGTTTTTTTTTGTGGTTGCTTCTCTTCGCTAATTATTAACTAGAAATACTATACATATATATTGTGTAGATTCAAGAATTTTGAAAAAGGAAATATTATTTTTTGATGTTTAAGTATAATAAACTCACGTTTTGCCTTAAGTGTATCGCTAATAGCATCATGCTTATATTTCTCATCAACGATAACCAGCCTCATCTTTTTCTCAGCACATGTTTTTCGGACATAGGCCAGGTCACCCTACAAAAACATTTTTATTGCACCTGCCACCACTAAGATAAAATATGTAGTCTAGGTCTGGATCTCTTAACAATGTAATGGTGAAAACTGGATATCGTTTTCAACTAAAAACAAACTTAAAGTTGAGAGGATAAGTTACCTCCAATCAATAAGGGTCACTTTTATTCGTCAGCAACCCTACAGATATAATTTAATTGTCAACGTCTCTGAGTTGTATTTATTTTATTAGTGGCGTAACTACAATAGTATAAGTAGAGCAGTGGCATCAGGGACCGCGCGTCAGGGACCTGCGGTATAAATACCGTCTTTACCACGATACAGCTGAGATTGTCGCTATACCGTAGTAAATCTTTCAACTAAATTTCCTTTGTTTTTTTAAAAACATTCTTTACTATAAAAAAATAGGTTACAGCAAAGGTTTTCTATAAACCATAATAGCCAATGCAAATGAAATTACGTCATAAATTCCCAAAGAAAACTACGAAAATATTCGAATGTACTTATACAAATCTAAACATGACTTAAAACTTGAAAGATACCTTTAAATTATGCACATATTTTATAAGCTTTCATTATTTAAGTAGGTATCTAGTAATATTAAATTATTAATATTATTATTATTATTATTATTATTATTATTATTATTATTATTATTATTATTTTTATTATTATTATTATTATTATTATTATTATTATTATTATTATTATTATTATTATTATTATTATTATTTTTGTTAGACACATCAGATTTTTAATTCAAATATCAGAAAGTGTATAACGGAAAAATGAAGGTTGAAATAATAGGCAATAAAAAAGATAAAGGGCTTATATTTAAAAATCAAAACATAAATAAATAGTAGGTATATTATACAAATATTTATGATATTTTTTCAATAATTTATTAAATATAAAAATATTGTTCATAAACAATGTTTAATAGTGTTTGGCTTGCATGTTTTGGAAATTTCAGCGAAATAAGCCAAAAAACGTCTTCTTTAAAAGTTTTAATTCCCTTATTCTGGCACCAGTTTTCAAACAAAATATATTCCCTTTCCTACGACCACTTAGGAAAGTGATACATATTACACTATATAGACCTATGGAAAGTGCCCTTTATCACACATGAATAAGAATTTACTTTCCACTTGTGTACGAATATGCTTCTTTCCGCAGCAGGTGTCACAAAATGTCAAACACATCATTTCTATTTTGATTTATTTAAGTCCATATTAATACTAAAATCGATATGATTGTTAAATTATTGAAATTGTTGTAAATTAGATTCTAGATATTTACCTTTAACAACTATTATTAAAATAATTTTAAAATAACTAAGATATGTTTGCTTTTTTATTCTGGTTAAACACATAACCGATCATTCAATTGACGCAAGCCCTATTAGCTCAGATGGTTAGAGCGTCAAACCTATCAACTTTGCCATTTGAGACCTGGCGAGCGACCGCGTTCACTTCCTGGCGGGGCCAGATTTTTTTTTGTTTTTTTTTTTGTTTTTTTTTTATTTTTTTTTTATTTTTTATTTTTTTTTTGTTTAGAAAATATGAAAATTGAATAAATACGATTATTGTTAATTATTTTTTTAAATACATTTTAATTATTATAACCTGGTTTTACATTTTTTGATGAAATTATTTTGTGGTCGTAGGAAAAATATTGTACATCACTTGTATGAAAAGTGATTTGTCACACTCGTAATTCGTATTTCATACCTATAATGGGATTTTGATGGTAGTAGATCCAAGTTTGCAGTTCTAGATGTTTATTATTATTTGACATTCATTTAAAGAGGCTAATAACAGGGCCATTAAAAAATTATTGAAACACGTCTCTTTTTATTAAAAATTATAGCAGAATTCTAATAATTTTTTAATTTTTCAGTAATTTTGTAAACTACAACCATACAAATATATATTTTAAATATTCAAATGTCAGTATACTCCCCAAAAACTTAACAAATTTACTAGTGCAAAAAAAATCCGCACTAGTGCGGAAAAGTGACTCTTTCAACACTAAAATGAGTGTGGAAAAGTGGACTTTTCCACATGCTAGTAGAAAAAATAAGTATCCGCATTGATTTTTTTTATTAAAATATTTATGGTAGCACTGCATCATCTAGCATGTACGCGTAAATCATTTAGTTTTTTTAATTTTACTTTATTAAAACTATTATGTTGGTATTTATACGCTTTACGAAATAAATATATTTTTTAGGTGATAGATACGTGTCTCTTACTATCTACTTTGACGCGCTAGCAGAGCTAAACTTTTTTATGCAATCATCACATCATTTACTGTGTTCTAACTTTTCTTCAATTTTGATGCGGATGGTAGCAAAATACTATATTGTCATAATCTAAATTCAATTATCTTCATTGTGCCTCAGTGGTTAGAGTCTTGACTTTTGAATTTAAGAACCTGCCATTCAAATCCCACCATTGGGCAGGATTTTTTATATTTTATTTATTTAAACATATAAAATTGCCAAAAGATAATATGAGAAACACGTCAACATTGAAGGTACTCCATCTTTTACACAATCAGGCTTTAGTGCGCAGACTTAAAAGAATTAAACCTTTTAAGCTTGTGTAAATGAAGCGATCGTGATGATCATGATAAAGTAAAGTTAGTGATATGAGCCACAATATATACAAGTAATGAAAAAAAAAAAAGAAATAACTCGATAATATACTTATATTTACAGAAATTAATAAACAACTTACTTTATCTTCTGAAAAATACAGGCCTTCGATCCAATTCTTATCTGAAAATATATTTATTTTAAAAAAATATTTAGGTAGGCATAAAAAATTAAACATATTTTATTAGAACACAGTCTTATTTTTTCATAGATAATTTATATAGGTGGCCACCCTCTGAGTTCGCAAAAAAAGAATGCTCGGATGTTAGGCTGAATCTTCATGTAAATAAGATTTTATTTGTAGACGAGGAGAACGAACAAAAAATAATAAACATTTCATTCCTAAAGTTTAGTACTTTTTCTTCTTCCTCTTTGTTTAAAAATACTTTGTACCAGCATCAGTAACATTTCTATACGGTAAAGTGCAACTTTAATAAAGGATTCTGTGTTTAGCAAAATAGTATATTATCAGTCAAAATGCGAAAAATTGTGTTTAATATACACTATTTTAAAGATTATTTAATATGAAAAATTAATAAATATAAAATAAGCCTAGAAAAGTAATTAAAAGATAACTAAATTGGTCTTATTATAGTAGGCTCAAAATGTTTAGTAATAATTGAAGCAAATATTTTTTTTTTATTTATTTAAATTGTTTGTATTTAGAGATAATACAAAAATAATTGTATAATTAATAATAAAATAATGTGCTCACATAAAAATAGTACAAATTGGTATTTTAATAATAACGATCGTCCATATAATAATTGGTATATTTTTATTTTGTTATCTTTGTGACTTTGTTATTTTGTTGATAACGTATAAAATGACAATTCAAAACACTTCCTTATTATTAGCGATAATTACAATGAAAAATAATGACAAAATACCGATTGAAAACAAAACTTTGAAATATATAGTTACCGTCAAAGCGTCTGCACAATATGATTTTTTTTTTAATTTTTACTGAATTTAAAAAAAATATATTTTTTTTTTGAAAGGTGCATGGTCTAAAACCCAAAATTCAGTGCTTAAAAATTAAACTTCACGAGTTAAATATATACAGAAATCGTATAAATAATTAATTTTGTCGAAAACTGCAATCAAGCAAAAAAAGCAATATAATACATTACCTGCGTCATGTTAGCAAGTAGCCAGCCAGCAATAAATTCAGGTGGACGCCAAAGCGCCAGCGGTCATACTAAATTTTTAACATCTAATTATTTTAAGTTCCGACAAAAAGAATATATTTAATCATAATTTGTTGCATTATAATTATTATAACCCTTTCCTAAAATTATAATAAGGGATGTAGAGAGGGCTAAAGCTTTTATTACTAGCACAAAATTTGTGTTTTTCAAAAATTTATTTAGGTCATTGGATAGATAAAAAAATAAAAAACTTTTTTAAATACCATTTTAAATGCTATATGGGTAATAAGAGATTCAGAGAGCTTTGAAATTTCAAAGTTTTTATTGCTGAGCCAAAATTTGTTTTTTTTTTTTTGAAAATTCATTTAGGCCATTCGAAAGATATTAATAAAACAAACAACTTTTTCAAATACCATTTTAAATGCTATATGGGTAATAAGAGATTTAGAGAGCTTTGAAATTTCAAAGTTTTTATTGCTGAACCAAAATTTGTTTTTTTTTGAAAATTCATTTAGGCCATTCGAAAGATAATAAAAAAACAAACACCTTTTTCAAATACCATTTTAAATGCTATATGGGTAATAAGACATTTAGAGAGCTTTCAAAGTTTTTATTGCTGAACCAAAATTTGTTTTTTTTTGAAAATTCATTTAAGCCATTCGAAACATAATAAAAAAACAAACAACTTTTTCAAATATCATTTTAAATGCTATATGGGTAATAAGAGATTTAGAGAGCTTTGAAATTTCAAAGTTTTTATTGCTGAACCAAAATTTGTTTTTTTTTGAAAATTAATTTAGGCCATTCCAAAGGTAATATTAAAACAAACAACTTTTTCAAATACCATTTTAAATGCTATATGGGTAATAAGACATTTAGAGAGCTTTCAAAGCTTTTATTGCTGTACCAAAATTTGTTTTTTTTTTTGAAAATTCATTTAAGCCATTCGAAAGATAATAAAAAAACAAACAACTTTTTTAAATACCATTTTTAATGCTATATGGGAAATAAGATATTTAGAGAGCTTTGAAATTTCAAAGTTTTTATTGCTGAACCAAAATTTGTTTTTTTTTTTAATTTATTTAGGCCATTCGAAATATAATAAAAAAACAAACATGTTTTTCAAAAACCATTTTAAATGCTATATGGGTTATAAGAGATTTAGAGAGCTTTGAAATTTCAAAGTTTTTATTGCTGAACCAAAATTTGTTTTTTTTTGAAAATTCATTTAAGTCATTCGAAAGATAATAAAAAAAACAAACAACTTTTTTAAATACCATTTTAAATGCTTTATGGGTCATAAGAGATTTAGAGAGCTTTGAAATTTCAAAGTTTTTATTGCTGAACCAAAATTTGTTTTTTTTTTGAAAATTCATTCAAGTCATTCGAAAGATAATAAAAAAAAAACAAACAACTTTTTCAAATACCATTTTAAATGCTATATGTGTAATAAGAGATTTAGAGAGCTTTGAAATTTCAAAGTTTTTATTGCTGAACCAAAATTTGTTTTTTTTGAAAATTCATTTAAGCCATTCGAAAGATAATAAAAAAACAAACAACTTTTTTTAATACCATTTTAAATGCTATATGGGTAATAAGAGATTTAGAGAGCTTTGAAATTTCAAAGTTTTTATTGCTGAACCAAAATTTGTTTTTTTTTTGAAAATTCATTTAGGCCATTCGAAAGATAATAAAAAAACAAACAACTTTTTTAAATATCATTTTAAATGCTATATGGGTAATAAGACATTTAGAGAGCTTTCAAAGTTTTTATTGCTGAACCAAAATTTGTTTTTTTTTTTTGAAAATTCATTTAAGCCATTCGAAAGATAATAAAAAAACAAACAACTTTTTCAAATACCATTTTAAATGCTTTATGGGCAATAAGAGATTTAGAGAACTTTTATTATCTTTCGAATGACTTAAATGAATTTTCAAAAAAAAAAACAAATTTTGGTTCAGCAATAAAAACTTTGAAAGCTCTCTAAATGTCTTATTACCCATATAGCATTTAAAATAATATTTGAAAAAGTTGTTTGTTTTTTTATTATCTTTCGAATGGCCTAAATGAATTTTCGAAAAAAACAAATTTTGGTTCAGCAATAAAAACTTTGAAATTTCAAAGCTCTCTAAATCTCTTATTACACATATAGCATTTAAAATGGTATTTGAAAAAGTTGTTTGTTTTTTTTATTATCTTTCGAATGACTTAAATGAATTTTCAAAAAAAAACAAATTTTGGTTCAGCAATAAAAACTTTGAAATTTCAAAGCTCTCTAAATCTCTTATAATCCATATAGCATTTAAAATGGTATTTAAAAAAGTTGTTTGTTTTTTTGTTATCTTTCAAATGGCCTACATGAATTTAAAAAAAAACAAATTTTGGTTCAGCAATAAAAACTTTGAAATTTCAAAGCTCTCTAAATCTCTTATAACCCATATAGCATTTAAAATGGTATTTGAAAAACATGTTTGTTTATTTTATTATATTTCGAATGGCCTAAATGAATTTAAAAAAAAACAAATTTTGGTTCAGCACTAAAAACTTTGAAATTTCAAAGCTCTCTAAATATCTTATTTCCCATATAGCATTAAAAATGGTATTTGAAAAAGTTGTTTGTCTTTTTATTATCTTTCGAATGGCGTAAATGAATTTTCAAAAAAAAAAAACAAATTTTGGTTCAGCCGTAAAAACTTTGAAATTTCAAAGCTCTCTAAATCTCTTATTACACATATAGCATTTAAAATGGTATAAGAAAAAGTTGTTTGTTTTTTTATTGTCTTTCGAATGACTTAAATGAATTTTCAAAAAAAATAACAAATTTTGGTTCAGCAATAAAAACTTTGAAAGCTCTCTAAATCTCTTATTACCCATATAGCGATTCGGTAGTGTCTCTTTGACCAGTAGTACCATTTAAACTATAAATTCTATACTAAAACAGAAGGCATTGCAATATAGAATATTATAGGCATTTTATTTAATTAAACTATTTAATATAATAATAGAGAAAAATGACTCCTACACAAAGTATCCCAACTAACAAAGTAGCTTTATAGTTTATAACATTTTAATAATATTATACTGCTAATGCTAATTTGTGTTACCAAAATTGGAAAAATCAGTATTTTGTTCTCTGGGGCCCTATTCTCGAATGTCTATTTCTAAATGGCACACGCGACATTGATGAAATGTCGAATAAGAACGCAAAAACGTATTCTGGAATGGCGAATTCGACATTTGTTTTTAGACATAAAGTCGAGTGGTATACAACCAGTCGACATTGTAATGTCGCATGCCTTTTAAATATGATGTTATAATATGAGTGTCGTGACAGTGACAGTTTATATTTATTTTTAAGAAAAATGAAAATAAGTATTGTACAAATTGTTTTTAAAAATATATGAAACGGTTATTTACAATTTCACATAATTTATCAATTATTAGTCCTGTCCGGTGTCGGATTGGGCCGTTGGTCTACAGGCAAAAGACCGGTAGGCCTTCGTTCAAGCTGTGAGCTCTCTTTCAGGCAGTGGGCCCTCTTTCAGGCAGTGGGCCCTCGTTTGGGCAGTGGGTCCTTGTTTGGGCAGTGGGCCTCAATCAGTGGGCCTCAATCAGTGGGCCTCATTCAGTAGGCCTAAGTTAGTGGACCTCAGTCTGTGTGCCCTTGAGAATAATAAATGTGAAATAACCCTTGAAAAATGCATCAATGTGCAAAGAAGGTCTTTTTGCTCTTCAAGAAATCGGCCCATGAAAAAATATTGATAGATGGTCCTTCTCCGTTCTGACCGGTAGGCACTGGTAGTCCCAATCCGACACTGCTCCTGTTTGTCCAAGAGATTAGAAACCTGTCATTAAGAAATTTATACAGCTCTATTTTTTCAAAAGATTATATCACAGACATTTTATGTAATGTTTAGATTGTATTACAATAATATATTTCTTCTTCTTTCTGTTTCATCTCTTAAAATTGCACTTCCAATTTTCTATTTAATCCCTCATTTCAGTTAAAAAGATATTTATATTTTCTCTACTTTCTAATTAGTATTTATCAAAAAGATATATATTCTGTATGTATTTTCAGTATTATTTTGTATTACTAAGTAATTGTCTGCTGTAATATACTCGTATTGTATGTTTCTATACAATGTTGTCAGACGTTACCATTCGCCAAATATGTCACCGATTTTAAAATGTCTATTTGTCTTTGAGAATACGGATAGTGTCAGTCGATCGACATTTTGATAGACATTAGTAATAGACATTATGATGAATGCGACATTTTTAATAGACATTCGAGAATAGGGCCCCTGAAACTAAATTGTTATGTAAATTCATTTTTTACTATGTTCTTGCAGCAAAATTATAAAATATTTTTCACGAAAACTCTAAAATTGTTAGATTAACATTCATGCAACTTTTCTATGCAAAATTTTAGCTAATAAAATTTAATTTTTTTTAGTGATTCTATATTTTTGCTTTGAATCACTTTTATAACCCTTTGGTTATACACATACAACTGCTTCATAAGCCCATAATAATGCATTTAAAAATAATTAGTTAGATATTAGTGTGCGATAATTCCGCATCAATAGCTAATTGCTTCCGATGAAATGTCTAGAACAACTATAATGTCTGTATAATAGAAAACTATATAGAGCTGTGATAAAATTATGTTTAATATGTGCTTTATAATCTTAGATTATATAAACCGTAGATAGAACATAAGACACTGCGCATAAAGCCACTTGGAAATTATTCACACCGACCAATCACCGAGTGTATTGTGTCGACGAGAATTAATTTGGTATTTTGGAAATTAATGTTGAAAATGCCAAGATGTGTCGTAAAAAGCTTTATTTATAATAAAAGTGCAAAGTGTGACACCAAAAAAGAAAACTTTCATTTATTGCGGTAGTTATTTAATTTTTAGAAATTATATCGATGGCTGTATTTGTTTATTTGAAAATAAACAGTACATATTACATATTACAAGTTGCAAATTGGATAACGGGTTTTATTGTAAACTGTTTACAATTTCCTGTTTTATGGGAAATATTTTTTTAGAAGATGGAATGTTGTTTAATAATAAATGCTTCAGAGATATCATAGAGCTCTAAACAGTATGTAATATGGTTTGTTACTCCATTATCTATATACCAGCTAATATTATCAGACTCAGCATTTAATCATTTACTTGTGAATATTAAAATCATATTGGCTTCTGATTTGTCTGTAGTTGGTGTAGGAGGTCTTCCATCAGCATGCCACTTGGGACAATTTTCTACTCCATGGCCTCGCACTTGACAATATTTGCACAGCCACATTTTAAACGTATTTTTTCTCAAAATATGACGTATTTTCTAGCAAAACTATTTAACTTCCTTGTGTATGCTTGCCTTGTTCTTTTAGAGCTCTTTGGTAGGCACACAATTGGTGGTTTAAATGTTTTACTGTTTCATTATTTTTGGTCATTAAAATCCAAATATATCAAGAAGAAATGTAAATTTTACAGATAAGTAACAGTTCTGGTAGTTTAATTGCATCTTCCTTTTGAATTTCTGGTTTTAGGTAATTTCAAAGGTTTTTAGGTTTATACATATGTGTGGCTACATCGTCACTGGCTTCCTTTTGATAACTTAAGAATTGTAAGCATAAATCCTATATTTTTTCTTTAGATGGACCTTCATAAAATTTACGCAGTTCTAACTAATACTCTGTTGCAGTGGAAAATTGTATTATTTTCTTTAACATATTTTCAGTCATATTGGAAGTTAGAATGATTATTGCACTGCTTTCTATTTCTCTATATTCAGTGAACTCTATATTGTACTTCAGTCTCTTGCGTTATCTCCCAAAGGTGTCGGTTATGTTACAGTTCTTTCTATACTTCCATGAGAATTATTAATATCTCTAAGAGGTATGCAGACCAATTTTCCATGTGGACCAGTTCGATTAACCTTATAAAAGTCCAATTTCTATATTCGTAAGGACCATTTTTTGAGTAACGTTTTATAGAAAATTTTGGATTACTTTTGGCAAAATAGCGAACCTGGGTTCATAACCTCTTAAATTAAATCGAAAAAGACCAATACTTATTGAATATAAATTTAAATTACTTTTTTATTTAAAAGGTTACTGACATTTAATATATTAAATAATGACCTTTTTTAAAAATACATAAGGGCTAGAATAAAGAGAAAACATGATAATGTAACTATTTTAACACACAAGGCCATCATCATCCAACATAATGCTGGGCCACTATCGAAAAGCCAAAATTTATCTTTTATCTTTTAATCGTCACATTAGAGTTCCCTTTAATTTCATAAAATGGCCAGCAATATCTCGGCAAATCGTTCTTTGTTCTACATAATTTTGTACGACTTAATTTTTTATCCGAAGTTAAATTAGTGTTGCAAAGTTACTTTTAAGGATCAGTGAGTCTGAGTTTCTATAAAAATTTAAAAATTACGACTACCATGGTTGTATATTAGGGAAAATGTATTTTCTTTAATATAGGAGACAAGAAAATACATTATTTGATAACAGAAAAATATACTACGTAAAAATAAGGAAAACGTACAAGCTTTATTCAAGGATAACATAAAACGTCACTTAAAACAGGAACTCGTAAAATTGTCTGATTTAAAAAAAAAAAGTGCAATAAAGTCCAAACAGTGTAATATCAAATATTTAAAACGTTTTACTTATTTCACATTTTGTAGTTCTTTTAAAACAAGACTTTTAAGGCTTACCTTCAGCTGCTCTAGAATTTTGAAAACAAGTCAAAAAGGCTACTAGAAGTAAATGTATTGCCACGATATGAAAATTCATGACTGTTAATTCAGATGCCTGAAAACAGTTTGAAAATAAAAATGATCTTCCTGAATATAAAAGTACATATATTTAGTTGATAAAATTTTAATTGCTTACTATTTACTGCGGTTATTAAAATAACCATAATTATTTGGTAAATTTAATTGATTTAATAACATAATTATCAATAATATTACAGAGAAAAAGTGATCGTATTATTATGCCGTGATCGTTATCACATTATAATTAGGTTAAACCCCAATTAGAGGACACATACAAAATTGTACTACAATAACAAAATATAAACAGTCATAATCTAAAAAAAATAACCTAAATTATTAGCCTTGTTGTCTATTTAAATTGCCCGTAAACTCCAATTAGAGGACACATACAAATTTGTACTACAATAACAAAATATAAACAGGCATAATCTAAAAAAAAATAACCTAAATTATAAGCCTATTTAAATTGCCCGTAAACTCTATTTAAAGAACAAAACTATACCTATTGATATTGACTTCGTTAATTTTGATTTTAATACTTGTTAAAACAGAAAATATATGAACAACTTTTTTTAGTAGTATATTTAATAAAATTGATGCAGTGCAGCACTTTCGTTGAGTGTTAATAAAAAATATTGAGGTCCATTAGCCCAATGCAAGCTTTTACCTGAATTGTCTGGTTTAACAAGATAAAAGACCCCACACACCGCTCATGGAAAAGCGACGACCTGTTTAATGTCATAAATTTTTGATATGTTGCAGTTCTCGACCTCTTAAGTGTCGATTGGACCATTTAAATCCCATTATTGATTTTTTAGATACTTTTTAGAAACTTAAAAAAATACTACTTATTTGATAACAGTTATTTCAGGAGAAAGCTAATCGTTTATAGGAGAACATGAGAGATCTTATTGACATGAATGCCAGTTGACAGTATGGTTCTTTTGTTGGCATCCAGTACTATGACCGTCCTCAACCTGTGACGTTTTCACTAAACACGCATATTTTGTAGTGGATCTCGATGTTGTGACTTTACGCTTATGTTGGTTAGAGTTCGTTATTGATATAAGATGTACCTGATGTCTTTTTCCTCTTGTCTTACGGGTTTTTTTGACAAGAAAGTTCAACTTAATTTGTATCTTCATTGTCTACAATTCTTTTTAGAGTCCTGATGATGCCTTAATCTGCGAAAGCGCTCGACTTATTTTTAAAATAAAGCAAAATTGTTTAAACAATTTATTTGTTAACATTTACAAATACTTTTAAGAAAGGTTTTCTGTCAAGCTGACTATCTTTGTGAACAGTTTAACTTTATGATGACTAGAGAAATCTCCTTATTCAAACCAATAAATCACTTCCGGTTTGCAATTAGACGAAACTATCATACATAAATTTAGGAGCCGATATTACTGCACGTAGCATTGGTTCATGTGCCAGTATGCACCCTGAAAAACAGATCGGTAAATAAATTCGTAATAATACAGGAGTGTGATATAGAACTTCAGATGTTTAAAGTAAACAACCACCATTAAAAACTTCAAAAATATAGCAAAACTAGGTAAACACTAATCAATTATTGACCTGTTTTGTAAAAAATGATAAACAAAATATTCATTCTGGAAATCAATAAAAATTTTAATAATGAATTACTCGCATGTGGGATTAAAATAAAATGTAACACTAATTTAAATTTTCTCTCGGTATACAGATGCCCACAAACCAAAAAAGATTGGCACAAGTTATTCTCAGAAATTAACCACCCTTGCATTATTGGAGGCGATATGAATGCGCATTTGGGGTTTTGCCAAAAACGATTCTGTAGGTCAACAAATTTAAAATACTGTACATGATTTAGATTTAGTATAAATGAATAATGGCGAACCTACCTGTCAAACTCGTCCTGGGAGCCTTTTTATGATAGGTATTTCCTTTTCTTCACCACAAATATTTAATAAAACCAACTGGGCGGTAGATGTAGATACATTAGGATCAAATCACTTCGTTATTAAAATAAACATCGAAAATACAGAAAAAAAAATAATAATATAATTTACCCTAAAAGTAAATGGAATTTAAAGAAAACAAATTGGCCTTTATATACATAATTAATGCAAACATACATAAATGATAATCCATCTCATGCTTTAAATGCTAGTGAAAACTACAATTTTTTAATGATTTGCATTGACAATGCAGCTCACCAATCCATCCCAGAATACAAACCCTTTAGAGCCAAAAAACGACCTCCTCCTCCTTGGTGGGATGTGGAGTGCGATCAAACTATTGAAGATAGGAAAAACGCCTTTATAGGCAAACATCTTCTTATAAAAATTTTGTCAAATGTCAAAAAGCCAGTGCTCGTATTAAAAAGTTTTTAAAGCTTTAAGCTAAACAGAGTTGGATCAAATGGTGTTCCTCTTCTAGCAAACAAACTCCATCCACCGTTATCTGGAATCAAGCAAAAAAAATGGCAAGGAAACCAGTAAATAACCCCAAATCCTTATCCCTAGAGGATATACGGTTAGACGACTTTTACAATAAAATTGCACCCCCGTTTGTAAGCACCCCAATACCTAAAGTTACTAAGGTTACTGATTCTAATCATTTCCTATTACTCCCTTTCTTACGAACAGAAATGGATTTTGCTCTTGACAACCGCAACAATACTTCTTCTGTTTATGACTCTATGCTCTTTAATTTACCAGACACTGCTAAAGACCTACTTTTAAATATATTTAACCAAATAATAATTGAAGGTATTAACATAGAAGCATTTAAAAAAATTATTGTTTTTCCCGTACCTAAATCAGGGAAGAACCCTAACTTAGCTGAATCTTATAGACCCATATTATCATTGCTTTTATGTGTTTTTAAACTCTAGAGAGGATGATTAAGTTTAAGTTTGAATGGTAGTTAATGCAACAAAAGCTTCTTTCAGAAAATCAGTATGGTTTTAAAAGGGGTTTTGGCACAATGGATGCCTTAAGTACTTTGGTGGTAGATATTCAAAACAATTTCTCAAGAAACAATTATTTACCTGTCCTTTTCCTTGACATCGAAGGTGCATATAATGCTGTCTTTGCCACTTCTCCTAGATAAAATCATTAAAATATGTCATATCCCAAAACAATTTGCAATCAGTATCATAAATTTTTACACCAACCGATCAATTTACTTGCGAACAAATCAATTTGTCCTAGGCCCTAGACTTAATAATAAAGGTTTGCCTCAGGGATCTGTTTTGAGCCCTCTTTTATTTAATATGTACACAACTGATTTATTATAATATTCAAATAAATAATACATTATTATTTAATATTGTACAATATGCCGACGATTTCTGTATTTATACTGAACACAAAAAAGTTGAAACCGCCTTAGAAAACTTAAAAAATATTTACTTAGTTTTACAAAGATGGTTGACCACAAATGGCTTTGAATTATTAGTTAAAAAATCTATGATATGTATTTTTATAAGACACAATTCACCTAATATAAATAAACATCATGTTTGGACCCGACGATTTAATGATTCAAAATGAAGCGAGGTACTTGGGTATGATTCTGGACAGGAAGCTGACGTGGAAATCCCATATTGATAGTATGCTGAATAAGTGCAATAAAGGAGTAAATTTTTTAAAATCGGTTAGTAAGACTAGGTGAGGGTGCTGATATTGAAATTGCTCAATTATTTTATAGAGCTTGTATTCGCTCTATCTTGGATTACGGATGTACATTATATGGTTCTGCTATTAATAATCTATTAAACAAAATCAATATTTTTTAAAACTCTGCTCTAAGGACAGTGTAAGGTGCCATGAAGTCTACTCCTATTCAAACCCTGCTTACACGTGGAAGTTCTGGAACCTCCTTTGAAAATAAGAAGAAATTACCTCAGTGAAAAAATGTTAATTAAAATCTATACCAATAATCCTAAATTATTTTCTCAGATTATTATATTAAATAGTTATTATTTGACTAATAAATATTGGATTAAAAAAAAACCCACCCCTTTGTCTCGCTTTACAAAACAATAGCAATATTGTAAGTGCTCTGTATAAAACAACTCACCACCCTGGAATTAATAATTTTGTTAGCTTTTATTCAGACATTTCCTTTATTAAACCAAACTATGAAGAAAATATATCTATAAGTAGCAATATATTACTCTCTATTTTAAATAATTTTGAAGACGCGTCCAAATTAGCTAATGGCGTAGGCTCTGCTTTCTTTGAACCTAAAGAGCACATAGAAAAATCTTTTAAATTTAGACAAGAATGTTTCATCTATTCTGCGGAAGCTGCGGGCGGCTATCTATGAAGCACTTATTTACGCTTTTTCCTGCATCAGAGAAACGATAGTTATTACATCAGATTCCTTCTCTATTTTAACATCTATTAAAAAAATGGGCTTCCTAATACATCGACTTGCCCTTTTGTAATTAAAATTAAGAAACTTATCCAAACATTTTCAGAAAGAGACCAGAACGTACATTTTATTTGGATTAAAGCTCACATTGGGCTGAAGCACAACGAACATGTTGATTTGTTAGATTAAAAAGGCTCTGTAACAGATTCTAATACGTCATATAATTTATCTGCTTCTAATATTACTGCAATATTAAAAAGAAATCAATTCAATAAATGGCAACACTTGTGACAGGAATATTGTTTTACAAACCCAACGAGGTATACGACTCTTCAGTTAAACATTCCTAAGATCCCTTGGTACAAGCATTATAAAATACCGCGAAAGTACATATCGACAATGATTAGGATGAGATTTGGTCATGCCTGTTATTCTAGCCATTTATACAAAATTAAAGTCTCTGAAAGTGACCAATGCGAGACGTGTAATAAAAAAGAAGATTTAGATCATATCTTCTTTAATTGTACTAAAAACAAAAAATTCTCTGACAAGCTATATAACGACCTGCTTGAATGCAAACTATGCTCCCCTTGTAATTTTCAAAGTTTATTGTCCTCCAATTCCAGAAACATTTATGACTGCTTGATT